ATGTTATATGGATGTGAACTTAGGAAATGTTTTAAGTCTTGTCATCTTGGCAGTACATATTGTGTGTCTCCATTAAGATCAGGCTTCATCCAGTATTCAGGATTCCTCTATTGTAACTCCCTGACTCCTGTTTGTTTTTTGTTTTGCTTTTTAACTTTTTCCAGACAACTTTTCCAAAATGTATTTTGGGATTTCAATCAAAACAACTTAATATCTAAACACACATTTCAAAACCCTTTAAGATGAATTTCAAACTACCTGTGAAGAGTCAGAACTGAATGTAATGTTCAAGACCCCCGAGAATTAAAAAGAGGATTTCAATCATTTTTTTTCTTGGTGGTCAAATTATCCACCTGTTATTTCTATCAGCTACCTTGTGATGTCACTTTATTGTTAAAAAAAAGATCATTTTGCTTCATCTGAGAGAGAAAAACGGTAAATCAATACTGACTGAATTTGCACATTTTCCAAATCATAGTTTGGTTCTCTGGGCAAGAAACCACAACTGATTTGTTTCACAGCACTCATTTAAAGCCATCAGCTAAAGAAATACAGGTAGTCCTCGACTTACAACAGTTCATTTAGTGACCAAAGTCACAATGGCACTGAAAAAAGTGATTTATGAGCATTTTTCACACATATGTGGCATCCCTATAGTCATGTGATCAAAATTCAGACTGTTGCCAATTTTGATCACATGACTATGCCGCATAAGTGTGAAAAATTGCTCATAAATCACTTTTTTCCATTTATGATGGCCATAGCATCCTGGGATCATGTGATCCCTTTTTGTAACCTTCCGACAAGCAAGTCAATGGGAAAGTCAGATTCATTTAACAACTGAAGCAAGAAAGATCATAAAATTGGGCAAACCTCCCTTAATAAACGTCTTACTTAACAATAGAAATTTTGAGCTCAATTGTGGTCATAAGTCAAGGACTACCTGTACATTGTACTATGTAAACTAGGTCAATGTGTAATTCTATTCTACAATGTGCAGTTTTTAGAAACATATATTGGAACGAAGTCTAAAAAAACCCACCAGCAACATTTTTCTCAAAAAAACTTTACCAATCTTTAATCTTTCTCTCTTAAAAAAAACCAACAACAACCCTCACATATCTTTTGTTTCCCAGGAAGTTTGGGGAGCATGACGTCTCTCAATATCCTGGGTTAGAGAGCAACGTTGACCTTAAGGCTAACCTTCTTCCGTGGGGCATCTATACACCATCCATCTCCCTGCAGGACTGGAGTCTCAAATGGATGTCTTCAGACGTCACAGCCTCACAAGATGATGGCAATCATGACGAAAGACAGAACAAAAAAATCCAGCGATGGGGTTTAGCAAGAAAAGAAGCAGTACCTGCTGGGAACCAAATGGGGGCAGTAGATTTAACTGGATGGGTGCCAGGCTGGCGTGGGAAGCGGAGTATTGTGGTAGCAGATGACGCGGCTTTCCGAGAGAAAAGTAAGATGTTAACCGCGATGGAGAGGCAGAAGTGGCTCAACTCTTACATGCAAAAGTTTTTGGTGGTAAACTCAGATTAAGAATGAAGTAGCAGCACGTGGGGGAAGGGGCATAACATCTTGCATGATGAGGGTCAAACTATGTATTATCACATTCACGGACCCCTGTCAAGGACCAATTTTAGCTTGACAGAATGGAAAGATCTGTAGAAGCTTAAAAGCTGAATTTGCTCCTGTTCTACAGACTTTCTAGGGGGTCCTGATCCCTGAGGATCTTAGTACCTCGGAGCATGCTCTCTTTCCACTTGGCTTCACTGCTTTCTCCCCAAATCAGAGTCACATAAGATGCCCTACTCCATAGAGCAGATGTATTTGCTAAACTAGGCCATAATATGGGTTGCTTTGTTTAGCCTTATTTGTAAATCCTGCTGCTGAGATTTATCAACTGCTACTTATGCATTAGCACAAGGCATGAATTTAGCCAACAGTGGTTTATTCGTGGTTAGCATGGTTAGTTGAACCAGGAATTAGTCTGGGAAGCTAGTCTGAAAATAGCAAGAGGAACTTAGGCAAAGGTTTAATTCAAATTATGCCCTTCATGAATTACAGATCATGTCATGATGTGCCTGTAAATTGCGTTATTGACTTGACACTTTCAATACCTGTTCTAATAAATTATGAGATTTGTTTGCTTTGTATTTTTTCAGTGGAACACATTTCTGGAAAATATGAACAGAACAACAACGATTTACAGAGAAAGTCTGAAGAAGGTTGTGGCTGTCACAACACTGTCAATATTTAAATGCAGGTAGTCCTTGACTTGCAACAGTTCATTTAGTGACTGTTCAAAGTTACAATGGCACTTGAAAAAGTGACTTATATGACCATTTTTCACATTTGTGACCATTGTAGTATCCCCATGGTCATGTGATCAAAATTCAGATGCTCAGCAACTGACTCATATTTATGACGGTTGCAGTGTCCTGGGACCATGTGATCCCATTTTGCGACTTTCTGACAAATAGTCAATGGGAAAGCCAGATTCACTTAACAACCTTGTGACTGCCTTAACAACCGCAGTCATTCACTTTAACATCTGTGGCAAGAAAGAACGTAAAATGGGTCAAAACTCACTTAACAAATATCTCACTTAGCAATGGAAATTTGGGCTGAATTGTGGTCATAAGTTGAGGACTATCTGTAGTAATTTCTTTCCCCTTACAAACACACTGTTCCTAATTTTAGATGCAGTGAAAGAGCTCAGATGGGCTACTTCATTGCTCCTGCCTGGCTTCTCCTGGCAGCAAAAACTGTGAAACAAACCTGAACAGGCTCAGCATACAGTTGTTTAGCAGTTCTATGCAAACAGGAATCCTAGAGTCCTGCTTATGACACTGGTTTATTAAAAACCAGCCAGAATTTCCGATAGACTCCTAATACTGAATAAGCTATGGGGCTGAACTATCTGGTTTCATTAGCTTTTTCTATACACCAAATACTGTTTGTGCTGGTTAAACAGTATATAAGTTAGTTTGGGAATGAGAGCTGTCCCCTTAAGGGAATGCCTCATGGGAAATATAGTTAATGCCTCATGGGAGATGTAGTTCATGTCATGTAGTCACATTTGTAATCCTGATTGGTCACTGAATTGACCCCTGGTTGGACTGGGGGGAGTTTTGGTCATTCTTACCTGGACCCAGCAATGTGCTGGTGTCTTCCTTTGCTGTATTATTATGGGATGAAGATAACTATCTTTTCACACTATGAAGACGACAATGGAAAGATTGGACATTAGATGAATCTCAGCATAACTGTGAATTATATCTTGAGGATGCCTGATATAATCCAATAAAGAAACTTTGTATGGAAGCCTTTGTAGTGCTTAACTACCTGTCTCTATATTCAGCCATAAAATTAGAGATAAGGCAGTTTATTCACAATTAGTGTCATAACGTAATATCTGAATGCTGCCCTGCTATCTTTCAAGCTCATTTACTATTAATTCCTTGTGTTTTTGCCATTTCTAATATTTATGATCACTCTTCCACACACACAAAACTTCTGAACTATGATTTCTATTAATGATAAGAGGGATTTTTCTCCAAACACTATAGTGTAGAGTTGACTTATCTTTTCAGAGTCAATCAATTATCTCTCTCCTTAATACTCTGTTGCTTAATTAAGCAATGTTTCTCAACCTCGGGAATTCTGGGCTAGGGAATTCCGGGAGTTGAAATCCACACATCTTAAAGAAACACTGGTCTATAGTACTATTACAACCCAATTGCCAATTTTCTCATGGAGGGGAGAGAGAGCACTTGCAAATAATTTCTGCTAGTGTTATAGCTGAATCAAATTCAGAATTAATACAAGTCTACTCACACTGCAACACTGCTGGCCAAACAGACCCATACTGGAAGCAAATTAAGTTAGAAGTTAAGTTCATATTAATTCTGAGTTTAGTTCAGTGATAGCACTAGCAGAAATGATTTGCAGGTGCTCTCTCTCCCCTCCATGAGAATTTATTAAGTAGACAGTTTACACAGTCTTTTCCTTATGTGAATTGTGATACATAAATGTTGCCCATGCTGGCTGGGGAATTTTGGGAATTGGAAGTCCACACAGCTTAAAGGCTGCTAAGGTTGGGAAATATTCTTCAACAGGCACCTTCCACATGTTCTAAACCCCAATTTGTGATCTTCTCATGAAGGTACAAAAACACAGATCCCCAATAAGTGTGCCAACGTCTATTAAAAACATGAAGCTATAAGGATACGAGGAAATGAAAGTATAATATTGTTGCATATCCTGTAATTAAGGGGTCTTCAACCTTTTTTCCGCAAAAATTTTTATTTTTATTTTTACATGCAATAAATGCATTCCATTTCAACTGATTAGGTACATATTTCATGTGCTTACAATTAATAATACTCATTTTACCAATATAACAATATAACAATAACCACATTCCCATATAAATAATATAAGTAATATTCTTATCAATATAACAATACAACAATAATCACATTCCCATATGAATAATATAAGTAATATTCTTATCAATATAACAATACAACAATAATCACATTCTCATATGAATAATATAAGTAACATCCAATATATCTATTTCAGGGTCTTTAAACTTGACAGCTTTAAGACTGGTGGACCAACTCCCAGAATTCCTCCTCCAGTCATGATAGCTCAGGAATTCTGGGAGTTGAAGTCCACCAGTCTTAAAGCTGTCAAGTCTGAAGACCCTTGCTGTGATTGTTTACATTAGGGAAAAGAATAAAATTCTTTTATAAAATCCAAGAAGGAGGTTTATAGAGGCCTTGCAAGACAAGGAACTGCAGAATAATTGGCAATATTAAATAAAGGGTGAACAGGAAGATTAGATAGATGAGAAGTGAATTATTTTGAGCGAATTGCTGAATAGCGGAGCAGCAGATAAAACACGACAAAGGCTCTGACCAACACCTGCATGTGTGAAACAGGAAAGGAACTGCAATGCTACAAGCAGCTCTCAAAGAATATTACTGTTGCATCGATTCTTCTGACACTGGGAGGGACAGGCGTCCAATCACTCTTTGATCTAAAAAGAGAGAAAGCACATTTTGAGGTTTCATCTCAGTCCTGCCTGTGTAACGCCCAACTGTCTTTCATTCTTAATATTCCATGCTATAAGAACAAATCTAACATAGTTTGCCCCTGTCTGGAATCTATGTCTATATATAAAATAATCAAGACATATTGTGAACTTATTATAAAATTCCACTATGTATACATATAATAATACAACATATACCAATACTTGGTGCTTGGTGCTCGCTGAGCTTGGTAGTTTTCTTGCAAACATTTCATTACCACACTAAGTAACATCATCATTAGTAGAAGGGAGTCGGGTTTGCTGTTATTTTAACATACTAGTCGCTTGCCCTGTCAGTATTGGTGGGAGGGTTCTTGGTAATTCCCTGCATAGGCTGTTTAGTATTAATTTGTCTGCATTGGTAGTTCCTTGATTGGGGGATTGTTCACTTGATTGCTGGTCTAGACTCTAGTCAAATAGTAAGCGTGGAAGATACATGCTATAAAAACCTCCAGAATGTTCCTTCCTGCTCAGTCCATATTCTTTCTTCATGCTTGTGACCTGAGCCATAGAGATGCAGGGTTTAGAGTGCAGTATTGCAGGCTAATTCTGCCGACTGCCAGGAATTCAGTTCTGACTGGCTCAGGGTTGACTCAGACTTCCCTCCTTCCGAGGTGGGTAAAATGAGGACCCAGATTGTTTGTGGGGGGGCAATAGGATGACTCTGTAAACCACTTAGAGAGGGCTGTAAAGCACTGTGAAGTGGTATAGAAGTCTAAGTGCTATTGCTATTATCAGTCAGGCTAACAGAGAGAACAGAGCATCGGATGAAGCAAGAAATCAATAACCAAGTTTTGTCCTGGAAGGAAATGTCAGTACTAACTCTGAGAGACTGTGATAAGCAGCACCTAGAAATAGAAGATACAGTCTGTTCTGTCGCCAGTAAAGAGACTCGCAGACCGGAATTGAATTCAGCTCTTTAATAATAACAGGAACTTCAACTGCAGTCAAACCTCAGCAGCCCTTTTTATAGCGGCTGCTCCATGGCTCGCAACCAATGACATTTAGTTAAACTTCCCGCCGCTAGTGGCGGCCAATCAGGTACTAATGTTACTAACCAATCATATCGTTGCTTCTGTTAACCAATAGGAACATTGCCCTAGAAGTCTCTATTTAAATACACTACTCAGTCCTCGACTACAATTGAGCCCAACATTTCTGTTGTTAAGCGAGACAGCTGTTAGGTGAATTTTACCCCATTTTACGACCTTTCTTGCCACGGTTGTTCAGTGAATCAATGCGATTGTTAAACTAGTAGTACAGCTGTTAAGTGAATCTGGCTTCCCCGTTGACTTTGTTTGTTAGAATTTTGCAAAAGCTGATCCCATAAATAAGAGTCAGTTGCCAAGCGCCTGAATTTTAATTATATGACCCTGGGGATGCTACAACGATTGTGTGAAAAATGGTCACCAGTCACTTTTTTCAGTGCTGCTATAATTTCTAATGATCACTAAACAAATTGTTGTAAGTTGAGGACTACCTGTAGACAAAATATCATCAACACCCCCAAGTAATAGAAGCAATAAAAAAATTGGCCCATATAAAATCCGTTATGTGTAAAAACCAGGTGTTATACTCTTTCATAAGAGCAAGGTATACAGGAAGTCTTTCAGAAAACACCAGTCAGAATGGTATAGAGGCAGATGCTCTGTGTAGAGGCAACATTTCCACTCTCTTCTGCAAGTTAAAAGAGAGTAGTAGGCAAAGACTGAAGGTACTCCTCATCTTAGAACATCCATTGTTAGAATATCCACTGCTAAGCAAGGCCATTGTTCAGTGAGAAAGACCCTCTTATGTGTTCTCACCTTGGAAATTCAGGGAGGAGAAAAAATCCATCAGCGTTTGGAGTATGCCGAAATCAGAAGGTTGCAGAACAGGTGCTGAAAGAGGGAGGAAACAGCATTAAGGGCTACATCAGGGGTGTCAAACTTGATTTCATTGAGGGTCGCATCAGGGTTGTGTTTGGCCTCGGGGAGGAGGCTATGGGGGGGGGGGGGGGGGTGACCAGGGGGGGTATGGCCAGCTCGATGTCACTCATGTTGGGGGCGCCTGTGGAGGCCCAAGCGCTCTGCCAGCGAAAACAGGCTCCCGAGTTCCGTTTCTGGAACTTGCAACCCTCTGCCAGTGAAATGGAGACCGGTGAACCAAGGTTTTCACTGGCAGAGGCACCGCAGGCCATTCTTCCATTGTTTTCTGGCCCCGTGGATCAGATCTAAGCACCCTGTGTGTCTGGATCCAGCCCCCAGGCCTTGAGTTTGACACCCTGCTAGGCTAAATAATGGGGAAATAATACAGGGAAAAACCACCGACAGTGGGTGCTCACCAATAAGATCCTGCCCCACAGAATACAGATCCTCCTCAGCATCTCTTTTTCCAGCCACAGCTCCTTTATCAGGCAGCGTCTGGTGGGCATCTGCTTTGGGGAGAGGAGATTGGGAGGGAAGAAGTGCTGCAGGTTACATGGAAAAAAAAAGAGATGGTTTACACCAGGCTCATAAAACCAAGAGCTACTTGAGGGAGGGAGGGATGGACGGCCTGGTGGCCTTTTATAATCACCCCACTGCCAGCAGCCAGCAAACAAGGAATATTGGTGAAAGGGAAGAGAATTGGGAGACTTCCAGACCAGCATACAGGTAGTTCTCGACTTACGACCATAGTTGGCTCCAATCTTTCTGTTGCTAAGTGAAACATTTGCTGAGTGAATTTTGCCTGATTTTACCACCTTTCTTGGCCACGGTTGTTAAGCGAATCAATGCATTTGTTAAGTTAGTAATGCAGTTGTGAAGTGAATCTGGCTTCTCCATTGACTTTGCTTGCCAGAAGGTCGTAAAAGGGGATCACATGACCCTGGAACACTGCAACCGTCATAAATATGAGTCAGTGTTCGGATTTTGATCATGGGGACTGTGCTCTGGAATGCCGCAATGGTAGTAAGTGTGGAAAAACAGTCATAAGTCACTTTTTTTCAGCGCTGTTCTAACTTTGAATGGTCCCTAAATGAACCGTTGTAAGACAAGGACTGCGTGTATCATGCAGTTTTCCATCATTCACAGAAATGTGATACAGCTGTTTTCCATCTCATATTTCAGCACTAAATCTTAGCATTAGTAATGCCAGGAAGGCTCCATGTGGGAGAACTATATTTCTTAGGGAGGAAGATATCATCATCATCATCACCACCACCAATGCCACCAACGCATCTCCTCATAGTTTTCTTTTTCACCAAGGAGCCACAAGCGAAGCAATACAGGTAGTCTCTGATTTACAACCACAGTTGGGATCAGAATTTTGGTTGCTAAGCAAGTTAAGTGAATCACACCCAATTTTAGAACCATTTTGTCATGGTCGTTAAGCAAATCACTGTAGTTAAGTGGATCATACAGTCCTTAAGTGAATCCACTGACTTAAATTTCCCTATTGACTTTCCTTGCCGGAAGCCGGCTGGAAACTCATAAATGATGATCACCTAACCTCAGGATGCTGTAATGGTTGCAAATACAGACTGGTTGCCAAGTGTCCAACTTTTGGTATTTATGACCATGGGAATGCTGAGATAGTCATAAATTGCAGGTCCGGTCATAAGTCACTTTTTCAGTGCTATTGTAACTTTAAACAGAATATTTTAGTTGTCTAAAAGCGATTATTTTCCAGGCCTCATTCTTATCAGACTTCTCTTTAGCAAGACTTATTGAGCTACAGGTAGTCCTCGACTTGCAACAGTTCACAGTGACCGTTCGAAGTTACAACAGCACTGAAAAAAGTGACTCGTGACCATTTTTCAGACTTATGACGAATGCAGCATTCCCGTGGTCACATGATTTACATTCAGATGCTTGACAACTGATTCACTTTAATGTCGTTTTTCAGTGTCCCGGGGGTCATGTGACCATCTTTTGCCACATTCTGAGAAGCTAAATCAATGGGGAAGCCAGGTTCGCTTAACAACCAGGTTACTAATTTAACAACTTAATAAGTCATAAAACAAGAAAAGTTGTAAAATGGGACAAAACTCACTTAACACATTTCTCACTTAGCAACATAAATTTTGGGCTCAGTTGTGATCGTGAGTTGAGGACCAGCTGTAAATGAGATGGAGTTAACATGTGTTCCAGAAGCTGAACTATTTTCTATTTAAAATATATAAATCCCCTTTACATTAAAAAACCTTTTAATTGTCTTTCCCAGAGTCTTCTTATCAACCAATAGAGAGGAAGTTTCTCCACTGATAACAGAGGAGCTAGAGGCTGGCTGTTTACATACAATAATGGCTTATAGGTAGTCCTTGACTTATAACCATTAGTTTAGTTACTGTTCTCACATTTACTAGTTTAGAAAGTCCTCGCACTTACAACTGTCACAACTCCCCAGGGTCACATGATTAAAATTCAGGCATTTGGCAACTGGCATGTAATTGCAATGGTTGAAGCACTGCAGGATCATATGATCACCATTTGCAATCTTCCCAGCCAGATCTGACAAAGAAAGTCAATGGGGAAGGTGGGTTTGCTTAACGACTGGCTTATTTGCTTAACAACTGCAGTGATTCACTTAACACTTATAGCAAAAAAAGGTCATAAAATTGGGCAAAATTCACTTAACAACCGCTTTGCTTAGCAATGGAAATTCTGGTCCCAATTGTGGTCATAAATTAGGATTACCTGTATAGGAACTCCTCAACTTGCAACAGTTCATTTAGTGAACGTTCAAAGTTACAGTGACATTGAAAAATATAACTTACGACTGTTTTTCACAGTTATGACCTTTGCAGCATCCCCATGCTCGTGTGATCAAAATTCAGAGGATTGGCAACTAGGTCTTGTGACCATTGCTGTGTCCCAAGTCATGTTTTTGCAACCAGCAAAGGCAATGGGAAAGCCAAATTCACTTAATAACCGGGTTATTAATTATCAACTGCAGTGATTCACTTAACAACTGTGATAAGAAAAGTCATAAAATGGGACGAAACTCACTTAATAAATGCAACTGAAAATTTGAGCTTAGTTGTGGTCATAAATCAAGGACTACCTATGCTGAATCTCATCAGTCCAGGGATCAATTATAACAGCCAGATTGAGTTTTCACTGGATGTACAGATGTTAGGTTACTGCTCTGATGCCCTGATATATATTTTTATAATAACATTATTATTATATTATTACTATTAAACAGATAAAAACTAATCCTTCAAAACAGGATAAAAAGAATAGAAATTACGGAAAAATAGAAATAACTTAGAAGAAAAAAGGAGAACAATAATATGATAAGAAAGAAGTATACAGAGACATTACTTCCCCCTTTATCACACAACTTATCACCTTCTCTTAAAGCATAACTTCCTGTATTTCACTCTTATCTACAAACAGATCCTTAAAACTTCATCATTCAGTCCTGGTGAACAAAGATCAGTTAAAGGTTAACAGAAATAATAAGATTGATCATCTGCTGCTTTTTAGGAGCTTATCAAGGGACCCGCCCTCACTGCTAGTAATACAGTGCTATACATATTTCCTTAGAACAGTGCTTCTCAGTTATAACACATCTAGTGAGAGTTATTAAGCAGAGGGACAGCTTGCCTCCTGGAGCTGTGGCTGCTCCACCACTGGAAGTTTTCAAGAAAAAAGTGGGAAACCATTTGTCCAAGATGGTATGAGGACCCCCTGCCTTGGACAAGGGGTTAGATTAGAAGTCTCGGCCCCTCTCAGTCTCTTCCAGGCTTATGAATCTGATTCTGTGCTGGCTGGGGGAATTCTGGGAATTGAAGTCCATACATCTTAAAGTATTGAGGTTGAAAAACACACTGCCTTAGAAGGAAATGTCATTTGGTTCAGTAAAATTTCTTTCCCTGTGACCTTAATGCAGCTTTCACTTAACCCTGTTTTCTCTGAATCAACTTACGGGGTCCCAGAAGATATCCAGCACTGTTCAGGGTCCACCCGCGTTTGTCCTTGGGCTACAGAAGGAACAGTAGGAAACATGACGTTAAACTTGCATTCGCCTCATCTGGATTATAATCTGTGTCCCCCCCCCCCCCCCATCAAAAGTCAAATTAGTAGCAGAGCAAATTTTACAAAATTTAAGACAGTCCCTAGTCCTGTGTTTCTCAACATCAGCAAATTTAAGCTGTGTAGACTTCAACTTCCAGAATTCTTTTCATCAAAGTTGGCTGGGGAATTCTGGGAGTTGAAGCCCACACAGTTGAGATTTGTCGAGGCTGAGAAACCCCTGTCCTAATCTATTACAGGACTCTAAATTCTCATGAATTACAAAGTTTAATTTATGGGGATTGTAAAAAAATTAATGTATTTAGTGACTTGCTGGAAGGAAGTCCAGATGAAATGTTAGATGGCATGAGAAACAATTGGCTGGATATTTAATTCTCTCAATGTTATATCCTGCATCAGTTTTTGGACTAGGACAGGGGTCCCCAAACTTGGCAGCTTTAAGACTTGTGGACTTCAACTCCCAGAATTCCTCGGCTAGCATGGCTGACTGAGAAATTCTGGGAGTTGAAGTCCACAAGTCTTAAAGTTGCCAAGTTTGGACACCTCTGGACTAGGAGAAAGGAGCAGAAATTTAAGAGGACAAAAACCATGATTTGGGGAGCCACATTTCCCCTTCAAAATAATAAAAAAAGATCTGCAAAATTTCATTTCAAAGGAATGAAAAAGAGAAATTCAACCTCAGAAAGGAGAAAATTTGCACTGTTCTGTTTCTTTTTGTTCAATACCTTCCAGAGAAAAAAATGGAAGATACCAAGAAAAGGACTAGAAGTCCTATCATCTGAACAACAAAAAATGCTGCTTTATAAAACCTTAGTAAGACAACATTGGGAATATTGTATCCAGTTTTAGTTTTTTCCTCATTATAAAAAAGATGTTAAGACTTTGGAAAGGGTGCAAAGAAGAGCAACAAAAATGATTAGAGGGCTGGAGGCTAAAACATATAAAGAACGGTTGCAGAAATCAGGTATGTCCAATCTAATAAAAAGAAGAAATAGGGGTGACATGATAGCAGTGTTCCAATATTTGAGTGGCTGTCACAAAGAATAGAGGGTTAGCCAGTTCTCCAAAGCACCTGAAGGTAGGACTAGAAGCAATGGATGGAAAGTAACCAAGGAGACAAGCAACCTAGAACTAAGGGGAAATTTCCTTATAGTAGGAACAATTAACCAGTAGAACAATTTGCCATCCAAAGTTGTGGGTGCTCCATCACTGGAGGCTTTTAAGAAGAGACTGTTGCCTCTTGTTCTGGAATGACATAGGACTCCCGCTTGAGTAGGTTGAGTTGGTTTAGAAAAGGGTTGTCAAACTCTTGGCCTGCAGGCTGGATGCATGCGCTGGCCACGCCCAGTTTAGTGAAGGGGGAAAAAGTTGCGATATGTCATGTGATGACCTCATGACAACGTGAGTTTGAAACCCCTAGTCTAGAAGACCTCCAACTATATTATTCTGTATTCTCTCCTTTCTCAGATTTTTCTTTAAATGACAAAATGGTGTTCACATGTTCGAATGGTATTTTCTCGGAGCAAAGTACTGTCTTGAGGGCTAGGTAGCCATGAGACCATGATTTGCTCTGAGGAAAAACCTCTCAAAAAGGCCATGAAATTAGGGGTGTGTGAAAATCTTCTCACACCCAAGGACCCATGAAGAACTGAGACAGAATGTTTTGTGTGTGTGTGTGTGTGTGTGTGTGTGTGTGTGTGTGTGTGTGTGTAAATTTTTTATTTTGTTTTATGTTTATGTGGGCTATTACCACTCTGTTTTTCTGGTCGGCTAACTCTTGTGTGGATCATAATAAATTAGACCCCATTTTCCCCCTTTCCCGATTGAATGGAAATGCCACAGTAGTACTGAAATTCTTGGTGCAGACGTTCCTCCATAGTTAATCATACATATGCTTTTAAAAACATCCAACACCATGGAGCATTCACCCCTGAAATCCACAATCTGAAATTTGGTCGTCCCTGCTATAACCACTGCCTTTACCATCTTGTTACCTTCTGCCAGCGAGAGCCAAATGCTGGTACTCTTAATTCTCCCCCAGTAAATTGAAAATATAGATTTGGAAGATCTGATACAAACTCACCACAAACGCAACTCCAATACAGTCTCCAAGCAGTGAGCAGAAAAGCAAAGAAAAGCACAAGACATACCAAGAAGTCCTCATCTGGTTAGAGGAAAGAAGAGAATCAAAGAAAAGAGTTTGCTTTCCAATGACATGACATTTCTTTGCTAATAATTTTTTCCTTTGTAGGAAAATAGGATTACAATACCTTCTTTGGTTTTACTATCATCTCTGATATTTAAAAGTTAGCAATATTTTTTATTTTTATAAATAAACACCCAATAATTCATCTGAAATTATATTTCCACTATGGTTGATAATATATATATATATATATACACATGCTCAACCAAAGTGAATCAAAGTCTGAATTCTGCTACAGTCTATTTGATATGTAGACCATGCTTTATTCAGTAAACCATGATTAAGCAAAGTTTGGCTTAGTGTGCTTTGTGAATAATATCACAAAGAATAACATCTCTTTTTCTATGGCTCTCCTAGTCTTTTACCATAGCTCTACAAGCATTCTGAATTATAATTCTTATAGCCTACAATCACATCAGATGCTAAGAAGACATGGGAATTGCATTTCCATTAAGGCCACCTTATCAAGCTGGCAAAAACCCAAATGATCACCCAAATGAAAAGATATTTGCTGTGCCTATGCTTCTATCTAATGATTATCCAGTTTTTTTGCAATTCTGAATGGATTGTTTTAGTTCTACAAATATGGTTAATACTTCCTCAAGAAAATTACTATTTTTACACTGACCTTATACAATGTGAATAAGCAGTCAAAAATCTGGGTGAAACAATTTGGAAAATTGTTCTGCATAAAAAAGCAACTGTTCTCCCATCAAGTTTCGACGCTTGTATGATCATTAACTGTGGTTCAAATTTGCCTTCGCTCCACGATCCAAGGTCCTGTGAGTTTTGACCTTCTGTTCTTGAAAATGTTCTACACTTTTAAAATATTTCATCAAAATACTTTGAAACTCTTTACATACCTGAAAGTACATGGTATGTATGCTTGGTAGATACAAGCATACAGACATTTACCGGTAGCTAATAGGACTCTCGCGTCACTGAACAGCAGTACAATAGGTAGAAACTCTATAGATAAAGACTTTTTTTAGTACTCTGTCACATGCCTACCTTAAAAAACAGTTAGCAAACCTTCGATCTCCCACATAAATGCTGCTGCCAGGATTACCCTCACCTACCCACCCACCCAACCAACCAAGACCTCCTGACTCCTGAACCTTACAGATCAGAAAAATCATACCTTAATGTCTTGATTGGATTGCTGGAGCTCTGATTCCCCAGGCAGGAAGGAACCCAAGTTTTATAGAGGGGAAAAAAACATAGATTTGGGTGCGTCATTACTCCACAGACAAAGCATATCAGTATAATTGGCAATAATGGTACCATGAGGTCCACTTGCAAAGGGCGGGAGAGGAGATGTTGATTCCTTTTAGTGTTTATTCACATCCTGTGCCAGAAAATGGATAGAAAATTGGGGTAATTAGCCCTACTTGACTAGTCAATTAATTGGAAGAGAGCAGAGTAGAAGACACATTACAAGTAGAAGACACATTCCATGTTGTTGGTAAAACAGGAAGAAAATAAGAGTCCACTTTGGTTGGCTCTCTTTTTGACAATCTTATCTGGGAGAGCATCAATCTTAAAGCTGCTTCATATACAGCATTATCCATCCTCAGCACCACAATTTCTTTGGCCCGTTTCTTGACATTTGCATTTTTAATGGATCACTAAAAGGCCAAATGCAACTTTTTGCACAATGTATTTATTTATTTTATTTATATGGCACTCATCTTACTCTGAAAATTGACTTTTTTCTTCTAATAATAATTATGAAAACATTAATACTAATCCTCCTAAACTGGCCAAAACTTTTAGCCACTTCCATTCTATTGATATTATCATCAGGTCTACAAGGCAGTTGGAAAGAGCTGAAAATACAGGTAGTCCTCAACTTACAACAGTTTGTTTAGTGACTACTCAAAGTTACAAAAGGACTGGCAAAAGTTTTTCATGCAATTGTTGCAGCATCCCTATGGTCACATGATCAAAATTAAGATCAACTGAACGAGCCAGCTTAGCCTAGCGGTTCCATCACAATTTGTTAATTCATGTTCAACTCTAGTTCCTAGCAGTTCAAGTCCTGCGGGAGCTGTCTGGCTTTTTAAATTATAATAATAAAAAAAAATAAGATCAGCTGACTCATGTTTATGATTGTTGCAGTGTCCTGGGGTCATGTGATCACCTTTTGCGACTTCTTGATAAGCAGTCAATGGAGAAAACAGATTCTTTGTTACTAACTTAACAACTTCCCAGGTTTCCCCTAACAAATGTGGCAAGTGAGGTTGTAAAATGGAGCAAAATTCACTTCACAAATGTCTTATTCAACAACAAAAATGATGGGCTTATTAGCGGTCATACGTTGAGGACTATCTGTATTCACAATAAGCCCTTGATTTCGCATGTCAGGGACAAGGATTGTGTGTTTAAAAAGCTATAACGTCCAAGGGTGGGATTCAAATTTCTTAACAACTGGTTCTGTGGGCATGGCCTAATTTGTGGGTGTGGCTTGGTGGTCATGTGACTGGGTCGGTGTGGCTTGCTGACTGGGTGTGGCTTGGTGGTCATGTGACTGGCTGGGCATGGCTTGTATGTAAATATTGTAAATATTTATGTAAATATTGAAGAGCAACTTTTACCCAAAATCAGGCAAAGCAGATTGAGTTGCTTGCAGAATCACAGATTCACTCATAGATCTACCTTTCTGCAATCTGCTGCCTGAGTCTGCACTGAAAAATAGAAGCTTCAGTCCTAAGGAAGGTTCAGCTCTGCTCTCAGGCCACTACTCCCCACCCCACCCCCTGAATACCACCCCTGATTGGGCCTCAGGGAAACCTCCTGGGCAAAGGCAAAGCAGTTCAACAGTGATTTAGATTAGCTAGAAAGCAGAAATCTGACAGCAGGTGAGGTGAGGGGCCAGCCAGTGCCACGATTTGCCAGTTCTCCAAACTGCACAAAATTATAACAACCGGTTCTATAGAACTGGTCCAAACTGGTAAAATCCCACCCCTGGTAACATCCCAGAAATCCAAATGAGATTTTATTCATTTGTATTTTATTTACTTTGTACATTTTTTAAATTATTCAGTTACTAAGTCGTATCCAACTCTTCATGAACTCATGGCCCATAGCAAACCAGAACCTCCTGTCTGCCACTGTCTCCCAGAGATTGCTCCAATTCATGCCCACTGTGTGGCTGACCTCAGCCATCCCTTCTCCCTTTGGCCTTCAATCTTTCCCAGCATCAGGGGTCTTTTCCAAGGAGTCCTGTCTTTTCATTTGGTGGCCAATGTATTTGAACATTTAACAAATGTATATTTTACATATTTTTCTCGTTTTAAAAAATGGGAATGTGATTTTTGCAAATTCATAAAATAAGGGAGGAGATTTTTATGATGAGCAGAAACATGTAGTACAGGTAGTCCTCGACTTACGATCTCAAGCCCCACATTTTTATTGCTCAGCAAGATAGTTGTAAAGTGAGTTTTGCCCCATTTTATGATCTTTCTTGTCACAGTTGTTAAGGGAATCAATGCAGTTACTAAATAAGTAGCATGGTTGTTAAGTGAATCTGGCTTTCCGGTTAATGTTGCTTCTGAGAAGATTGCAAATAGTGATTACATGAACCTGGGACACTGCAACTGTAATAAATACCAGGCATTTGCCAAGTATCCAAATTTTGATCCCATGGCCACAGGTATGCCGCAATGGTTGTAAGTATGAAAAGGATCATAAGTGACTTTTTTCAGTGCCATTATAACTATGAATGATCACTAAATGAATGGTTGTAAATCGAGGCCCAAAATTGTCTGTGAGCTTCTATGAATGAAAGTGCACCTAAACCTGGATCTCCTCATTCCTGATCTAATACTACTAGGATCCAGAGAGATATTGGAAATAAATGTGAGGCTGCAATTGGTTCTTTGATATGACAGTTTTCTGCTGAATTTGCTCATACTATAATGAAAAAAAGCTAAGGGACAACCATCAGAACTTTGGGCCTGGGTTCTAAGTGTTGAAAGGCTGTCAAAATGCCTTTCTTCTGAGGATTCGATTTTCCCGCTGGGAGAGCTCCGGTGCAAGGATACAGACAACTGCTTGAAAGCTGGATCTTTTTATTTTTCAGGAAGGCGATAGATAGCAAGAAGTCTGTGTTCCTAGGCTAGCTAGCTTTGTATGATAAGTCCCTGATATTTTATACCTTTTCTCCTTGTGTGTGTGTGTGTGCTTGTGTTTGTATTTCTTAATGTTTTAAATCCTGTCAGGGATTATCTTCATTTCCGCCGGAGGGTAAACTCCGTGGGGTGCAGAAGGCAAACCTTGCGGTGTGGTTTGATTGGATTATTGGTTTCGTCCTAATCTTTTTTTTGCTTAATGGTTTCTTATATTTGTTTTGTGGCAATCTCCTGTCTGTCTCCTTTGCAATATATTTTGTGTCTTTTGTCTGTTTGTTTTGCTGATTTGGCATGTCTTGTGTTTGTAAGGGTTTTATTTTCTTGTTTCCTTAGTTTTCTTAGTTATTTGGGCTTTTGTCTAAGGGGCTTCTTTAATACCTTTTATTTGATTCCTTTTCCTATGCAAGTTTGTTTGATGGCTGGCTTGATGTTCCCTTTGGGCTTTTCCTGCTTGGGTGACACCACTGTCCTCATGAAGTTCCCTTTCCACACTAAGTACCTTTGGGGAACTGTCATAACTTCAAACAGTTGCTAAGCAAATGATATTTAGTCAAGGATTACCTGTGCCATTCCGGAATTTCAATTACCTGTGAAGTAAATCACCTACCAAATAGGAAGAAATAACCAATGAGACAAAGGAACCTAGAATTTCCAAATGCATACTAACATATAAAGTCCTTACAGGCAGTGCTCATTTAATGACTGCTTTGGGCAGTCACTGTATGATGGTAATGAAAAAGTAACTTGGGACCAATGCCTGCATTTATAATCTTTGCAGGATCTCTATTATGTGTTCACACATTACAGTGAGTTACTATACATTGTCCTCTGCATCATGTTTTTTTTTTCCTTTCCCTTGCAGATTTTCTAAACTATCTCTTCCTAAGCTGATTTTCACTACAGTGCAACACCATTGAAAGTGCTAAGGGCAAGTTAAACTCAAGTCCATGACCTTAATTATTAGTTTGGTGTTTCTTGGAACCAGCATGCTGGCTGTGGGATTCTGGAAGTCAACACGTCTTAAAAGTTTCCAAAGTTGAGAAATACTATTATAGTTGATTACTGTAGAACCCTCCAGGTTCAGCTGCTGCCTGAAATTGACCCTAATCAGTTTCACTCTTTTGTTTGCCTCCTGAACTGCTTGCTCCATTGAATATACTGTATATTCCCCGTTATGTCCCTGTTTACTCTTGTAGAAAGTTAGCACCTAGAAGAATGAAATATTCTAGGAAATATTAAAAAGGCAGAATATCTCCCAGGATGAGAAAAGGAGAAGCGTGTTCTTAGAAAACAACCCCCACCTTTGGTAATAACCCCAGAAAGACAGGGCCATCCTATCTACAGGACAAAAGGCCTTCAACTCCAGGGTGATAGGATTAGCTCTCACTCGAGATCCAAACCAGGACAAAGCCATTAGGCCATAATAGGAATTGCCCAACACCTTTCAGAACATAACCCTCTTCATTACCTCACCACCCAGCAAGATTCAATCAAGTCTGGGACACAGACTGCCTACAAGGTTAGCTAGATCCCCCCATAGCCCCCAGGGGTCTGACAATCATAGGATACATTTCTTGCAAGGCCCAAGAGAGGGTATTAAGTATATCTCACTCTCCACTCCATGTGGTCATCTACCCAGAATCACATGTGCTTGGTGGTTCTGGTTTACCATTGAACCATCCTTCCAAGCAGCCTCCGTGTTTCCAGTGTCTTTCTTCTCACTTGGAACTGAACCCAGGTAGACATTTCTTCCAACACTCCGTTGTAATCTTTTCGAATGAATGTGCATGCCAATATCAATTATTTCCTTGCTATTTATCCCTGCACCAGGATGAGCATTCCAAAAGGTAGGGGAATAGGAGAAAAGTGCTATAGTTTGCCCTTTTATCCAGGTTCTTCATTAGGTCTTAACTGGCTGTTTGGGGCAGTTATCTCTTTGATGCTGTTAAGAAAGCAAAGCTGTAGCCACAGTCATGCAATTTTCACTTAGGGACCACTTCACTTAATAATCAAGTTAACAGAACTAATTACAGTCACTAAACAAGGACTAACTGTACTTTTTAAATAACCTACATTTGGAAATAAACAGATCATCCCCATGTTGTCCCACGCAGGGCCCTATCTGCATGTTCCATGATTCTTCCTACGAAGAAATCTTTTCCATGGAGTCTGTGTATACTCTATTTGACTTCCTGGAATGTTTTGTGCCATAAAACACTGTTCTACCACACACAATGGCCACATTGGTTGGAACATTGAGACCCCTAGGCCCCGTATTTCCAGAAGGTTCTGTGTTGAAGAAACTGTTGTGACTTTGATTTCTTCGCAGACTGCTTTTCACAGCATTTTGTTACATCTCTTCAGTTGTTGGCTTTAGCAGGGACTTTCATCTTAACCTGGCATGTTTTTTAAGCCAAGTGGGCCCTCTTTTGTAATAGCTCAATTAGAGCTCCTATGTCACCTATCACAGAACTATATTTTCTTCCCCTCCATGTTTTTCAACCCAGTGAAGAGCTTTCGGGAAAGAGTCAGGCTGAACTTAAGAATTCAGGATGCTATGGGAAGGGTACCAAATAGGTCAGAACCACTTTGTTGGATATTAATAAGCTCTCAATGGTTGAAAGAGGCCATGAAAGACCTCTTGTAAGGTGCAAAAAGCATATTTGCACATCTATTCATTACATATTGCAATGTTCTATGATTTGCAAAGAGACTGCAAATCAGAAATCTTTGAGCTAGAGTAGCTTTGTCCATGAGTTCCAAAAAGGAGTCTACTTTGGTTGAGAATAAGGAGGATGACCCTGATGGAGAGATGTAGGAATCTTTACCTAGGCAAAAGAGGCTGAAGCATTTTAATGCCTAGAACTACAAGATAACACTCAGAAATGATTCAAGCAAGTTTCTTTTCTTTTTTTTATTTTTCTTATATGTATCCATGTATTCATAACTATGTTTTTACTTATACCTATTATCTTGTAAGCAGTTGACAAACCAAATAAATAAAAATAAAATAAAATAAATAAATACATGAAACTTACAAGACTGAAGTCAGTCACGTCAGGTAGAGTAAACCAACTGCATACGAGGACCAAAATACTCTGAAATTGGGTGTAATAACACAATTGTAAGTGCTATGGGGACATGGTGGCTCAGTGGCTAAGACACTGATCTTGTCGATCAGAAAGGTTGGCAGTTTGGCAGTTTGAAACCCTAGCACTGCATAAGGGAGTGAGTTCCCATTACTTGTCCTAGCTTCTGCCAACCTAGCAGTTCAAAAGCATGTAAAAATGCAAGTAGAAAAATAGGGACCACTTTGATGGGAAGGTAACAGTGTTCGTGCGCCTTTGGCGTTTAATCATGCTGGCCACATGACGATGGAGGCATCTTTGGACAGCACTGGCTCTTCGGCTTTGTAACGGAGACAAGCACGGCCCCCTAGAGCTGGAAATGACTAGCACCTATGTGCGAGGAGAAGCTTTACCTAAGTGCTGAGTGCAAATCTATTTTGTATGAGTGAACAGATAACATTTTGTTGGGCATGCTAAGTGTACATGCAAGTTTGGATCCCAATTCCCTGGAAATAGGATTATGTAGCCCAAAGCTCCTATCCCTCAACTCATCCTTTATGATTTCTTCAATTTGATAATTTTCATATACCAATTATTAAAGAATAATGGAATTATGGTATTGACTAAACACATCCATGCCCAAAGTCTGTTCTGAGATGGTAGAATTTTTATTATTAAATGTTCATCCCACTGAATCCTTTTTCAGAGCAGCTTAAAAAAAAAAAAAAACCCAGGATAAGAAAACCCATCCTCCCAGAACACAATACACAATATAACATAGCCTCCCCCTTTATAGATGGGGAAGCATCTCAAAGGAGTTTAAATTAATTTCCATGTGGGCGAAGGCTCCTTAGAATAGATGAACGAAACATTAGAATACCCTCCAATGAAATAACTTCCGTAGCTGATCAAGCACAGCTAGGGGCAAACAATAGAACTGCTGTACCAAATGTGCTTTTTTTTCAAGAGGCAACTGGACTTTATTTTTCTTTGAACTTGTTTTTTTTTCCCGAACAGAACAGCTGCTTTATTGGGACATCCAGTCCCGATACTTCCAAGACTTTTAGAAGATATGAACTGGGAGTGACTATAATTTTCCCGCGTTATTACGGGTAGACTACTCTTCACACAGAAGCTCCAAACAGCTACCGATATCGCTTTAGCCGCTTTTAACTTGCATCGCAAGTTAACTTTTCTAGTATCAGGGATGGGGTGGGGGTGGGTGGGGAAACAGGCTCTTCCCCCTCCGCCGCGTTCGCCCCACTTCCTGCTGACGCTATTGCTTTCTCTTCTCACGTCCCCGCCCTTGCCGTCCCGCAGCTCCTCTAGCTTGACCCATTTAACGCGTCTCTATGGTATCGGCGTCTTCGATTGGTCGTTCTGAGGCGGTACCTTCCACCTATTGGCTGGGCGGCCCTGTGTGGCGGGGCGCGGAGGGGAGCTGTCAGGCTACAGAGGGAGGGGTCTTTCGCTGCCGGCCTTAGGCCCTGGCCTTGGATAGGGGAGGCCGCCCGACGCCGAGAGCCCTCGGTACCCATGGGGGATCCCTGAGTGCGGTTTTCCTTCCCCTTTCTACGGGTTGGGTGAGTGCCTACGGCGGTGGGAGCGGGCGTGGGGCCACTGATTTAATTGCACGAAGAGTGGCGCTAAGGAATGGAGCGCTGGGTTAGTCGGGGACGAAGGGAAAAGGAGGCTGAGGATTCATTCTGGGGGAGCCGGTGGGCGAATTTGCCCAAGTCCTTAAAGAGTGCAGCCATTGTAGGGCCCTTGTGTGGGAATCCTGGCAATTGAAATAAATGGGGTTGCGGCGGAGGGGAGGTTCTTGCAAGTAATAGTTTACGGGCAATAAGCTGGTTTTGCTTGGTGGTGCTCGTCTCCTCCCCCCACCCCACCCCACCCCCGGGAAGAAGTTTGCCATTTGGAAGGCGGCTAATAACCTGACCGTTGATAAGACCTTCGCCTTCCTTATGGGAAGCGGCGACTGCAGCCTTGCCTTTTACAGGTGCGCTGATTCAGCAGGTCTAAACTTGTTAACTTGTCAGGGAAGCTACCTTATGCACAAGACGAGATTTGAAAGAGACTTCTGCAAATTTGGATTCCATTAACCTTTTTCTCTGTCCAAAAATAGTGAATGTTCCCAACCCTGGAAGATTTTGAGAAGCGATTGGACAATTGAAATTGTAGTATAGGGTTTTCTGTTTGAGCAGGGGGTTAGACTAGAAGATCTCCAAGCTCCCTTCCAACTGTTATTCCATTCCATCCCATCCCCATCCTGTATTTTTCCATGAAATGCAGACCTTTAGAAGCCTTTGGTAACTCCTTTAGTTTCTGTGCCATACCCGAACATAAAAAACATGGAAGTCCGTTGGTCACATAGCAAGAAGAATTAATGCCAGGTGGACCAAGACAGCCATAAAATGGATCCCACTTGATAAAAAAGCATCCACAAAAGAGACTTAAGGCAAGATGGATCGACAACATCAGCAAGTATTGTGGGCCTAATTGACAAAAAAAAAAAAGCTCAGGACCATATGGGTTGGAAACATGCTGAAGAAAGCCTTCATCCTACAGTGGATAGATGATTGCAAAAATGATGATGATGATGACTTGAACATAACTGTCTCCCCCATTTCATTTTCCTTCTCTTAAGCCTTGAAAGGGACTTCTATGCCAATCAGCCTATTAAATATACTGTAAACATACCCTTAAAGGTACTATATAAAGAAATAGTAAGAACCCAGCTCATTTTACTTTTTAATACCTGTGGGCAACTGTAGTATATATGCATGATACATCTATATCCAGTCCCAGAATTGTTGGAAGTTTTTCTGTGTAACACAGACATAAACAGGGAAGTAAGCACATGTCAAAAAACCCATATAGTCAGCAAGATACAGATAGGTAATAGTACAGGACCAGTCAGTAGCAGGTACAAACAAAAATTATTGTGGGCACTGATAAAGGAATAGAGGTAGCAGAGACAAATTACAGAAATTGTGTCAAAAAAGGGACACCCAAAATGGCCACATCCTCACAGGAAAAAACAAGAGACAAAAGAATGGGACAGGTAATTATACCAGCCAGAAAGTGAGAGAAATCCATCTAGAATAAGAACTTTGGAGATAACAGAATTGTTAGCGGAAAGTTAGGCTTCCTTCTTTTAAGTCAGTTTTGAAAGAGATTTCTGTTCCCATAAAAGATTGGTAGAAATCCTCGTATCGTGAGCTTTTTAAATTAAATGATAAGAAACCTCTTTATAATGATGATGATGATGTTATCCAGTTGTGTCTGAGCCTTGGCGATTTTATGGACCAGGTCTCTCCACACCACCTGATCTTGTACTGCTGTTGCCTGATTCAAACAACACCAAACTTTATCTGCTTACCCTATTGCAGGTTATTGCTTCCTAGAAAGAAATAGCAAATATTCAGAAATAGTTGTCCAAGTGTGAATTTTAAGATCACATGAATGTTGAAAAAGAATTGAAATTCACTTCAGTGTCTTCTGTTGATTTTAATTTTTTAGTTTTCTTTAGTTGCCCTGGAGCCCAGCAGAAATGACGGAATACAAGCTGGTAGTAGTGGGTGCTGGTGGCGTTGGAAAGAGTGCATTAACGATACAGTTAATCCAGAATCATTTTGTGGATGAATATGATCCCACTATAGAGGTATATAATCACTGCAGCACTGGCACTGACCTCGGAGTTGCTTAGTGTCCTCATTCTCTCATTTTGTCTTGTTCAAAGAATTCATTGCACTTTGATTCTGTCATTCTATTCCACTGTCCTTCCTAGGTTTCTTAAAATACAAAATACATTACTGGTTATTTACTGGTTGTGAATGTCTGATACCTGCTGCATTCTTTCTTAATGATCTACATATATTTTAATATTGCACAGTTCAAATTTCTGGGTGCTTTATCTGGCTGCTTTTAGTGTGTGTGTGTGTGTATGGGAGGGAGAGAGAGAGAGGAGAGAGAGAGTCTGGGGGGGAGTAGGGGGAAGAGAGGGAGAGAATAAACAATGTTTTTAAATTTATAAATGTACACTGTCCAGAATCATTTTGAGAATGAAATGGATGGTATAAATTTGACCAATAAATAAAACTTCTCTGCCTCCTTTTTCCTGGGGGTGCGGGGGAATGAACCATTGCCCTATTTCCCCACTACAGTTGCTCATTTCCTCAGCTCTTTTGGGAAAAACATACTCTGAAGTTAGAATTAATGCTCAATAGGCATAACAGTTTAAGCCCCTTCCCCCACAAAAAACTAAAAGCTCAGAGAAAAGCCAAAAAATTGTTGGTGCCATGTATATAAAAGCATCTTCTTCTATTTGCATCATCGTTCCATCTACATCACTCTAGTGGTTTGGTGTAAGATCTGACTAGCAAAAGGACACTCATCACTTCATAAAATCTGCTGTAATCCTTCTTCAGGACTTTTTTTTTTCCTTCAGGACTTTTTTACTGGAAATCTTTATGTATAGTAATGTTGTGATGAAGTATTATTTTGTTCCTGCCTTTTGTTTTTTCCTTCTCCCATGTTTTTCCTGTGTTATATTTTTCTTTGTGTGTGGATGTGCTTCTGAATTCAGGATTCCTACCGGAAGCAGGTGGTTATCGATGGAGAGACATGCCTTTTAGATATCCTGGACACAGCTGGGCAAGAGGAGTACAGTGCCATGCGTGATCAGTACATGAGGACAGGAGAAGGCTTCCTGTGTGTCTTTGCTATCAATAATACAAAGTCTTTTGAAGATGTTCATCATTATAGGTAAGAGGACAACTTAAATTCTGTAGGCTATCAGCATCTATTCTTTTCCTTGTTAGCTTCTTTCCAGTAGCAGTGATGGCAAAAGTACCCCAAACCTCTCTAATACTGAAAATATGATGGAGCTTTATTTGATTAGACTGGATTTTCTTTTTACTAAAAATGGGGAAAATGGTGATTTATTGAATTGCTGATTAAAAAAGAATGAATAAGAGAGCAATTGTATTATGTTAATTTTAAAGGGGGCAGAGAGGTAACTGCCATAAAGATTAGTTGTTTCTTCATATAGCTTTTTTTTCTATTTGTACTATTCACATTTTTCTTAATCTTACTTTACATCATTTCATGCTTCTTTGTGAAAACCTTTAATAAAAATCATATAAAAACATGAAAGCTCATTTTGTGTGTGGTGCAAAAATTCATGTAATGTTTTTTTCCAAAAGAAATAAAACAGGATTTCTCCAGAAAACTAAAGAACAGCCACCCAACTCCAAATTCAAGGGGGGGGGGGGGAGTGAGTATGCAAGTAGGTAGGAGTAGTAGTGTAGTGTATATAGAATACTCAGTTTATTGGCCAAATATTTTATATATAAGGAAAATATGGTTACTTCATATTTTTTATTCCAATTTTGGAAGTCTCAGCCTCTTCTTTACAGCCAGACTACTTGCACTTATAACTGCATATATAAACGCCTTATTGGTAAGAACTGTTCTGTGATATGACTTAGGGATTTTTTGCTCAAAATAACTTATCTGAATCGGGGTGGGGCTTTTTTTGTTTTTGTTTTGGTGGAATGGGATTCAGCCCCATCCCCACCCTACCCCCATCCTGTCATTCCTCCATTCAGACTCATGATTTTGAATACTGAAACACAAAAACTGAGGGAAAAGGAATTGTATTTCTAAAGCATATTGCACATAATCTGGATTTCAATAGTCTGCTTTAAATATAAGTGAACACACAGGGCAAAATTAAGTACTGGAATATATTTCATTCAAATCTAGAAAACTCAGGATTGAATTTAGAAACTGATTTGGTCAGAAGCACCTTGTTCGCATTTTCCTCTTACATAACTCCAGGGAACAGATCAATCGTGTGAAGGACTCTGATGATGTTCCCATGGTCCTCGTTGGCAATAAGTGTGATCTGCCTTCTCGGACAGTGGATACTAAACAAGCTCAAGAGCTTGCAAGAAGCTATGGAATCCCCTTTGTAGAGACTTCAGCTAAAACCAGACAGGTGTGGTATTGTGCAAGTAGGATAAACTGCTATATTTCAATCTTATTTCACCTCATTATTTATGTGTTAATCACCATGTAGGCCAAATATCAGATGCTTTGCTTTATAATAATTGAAACTGGGATTCTCACAAGCCAGTATGGGGGGAAATAATAAACAAGGCTACAGTACATAAAAAAACATTGATTTTTTTTTACCCCGATTGAAATATTTTTGCCTATTGGTAACAGCCTAAGAAAAGTTAGCTAGAACCCAGGTATTTGGTAGTTGGAATCTTTGAATTGATCCTTGTTGTTGTCTAAATGTGGGTTTTGAAATCCCACTTTGTAAAAATTAAAGCACCTGATGTATCTAATATATTTTTAAAAGAATAAAGCCCTGTGTTATATATCTTCCTCCACTTTTTGTATTTGTATTCATCTAAAGGGAGTGGAAGATGCCTTCTATACCCTGGTGCGTGAAATTCGAAAGCACAAAGAAAAGATCAGCAATGGACGCAAGAAGAAATCTTCTAAAAGAAAGTGTATTATCCTCTAAGAGAGATGTTGTTGCACTGCTGGAAGTGTGGGAAAAAACCTTTGTTTGGGTATTTTTCCAGCCTGCAAGATAAATTCTGATGGCCTTGTCCCCTCATCCTTTTCAGCTGGAACGCAAAGGTGGTGGTGTTCTTAAAATGTTTTTGTTTTGTTTTGCTATTTTTAAAACTTGGACATCACAACCAATATTAATAACTACATTTGATAGTCTTGTTGCTTCTCTGCAGAGTAAAAAAAAAAGATCCTTAGGATAACAAGGATTACTTCATAAAATCATCCAGTGTAACCTGATCCCAGAAACTAAATTGAAGGAACAGCAGGAAAGCAATGTTTCGTTCAGAGCATGGTGTCAAACTTGCAGCATATGTAGCTGTCATGTGACTTATTGTGCCGTTTTCCCTTTGTGGAGCTAGGATGGGTGTGGTCTGTGCATGATGCATCCAACCTGTAGGCCGCCAGCTTGACGCCCCCAATTCAGAGTATTACCTAGTGGTCTTGTTTGTAGCATTTTCTTTACTTTGGTTCTTTGCAATATTGAAGAAAAAGTCAAGTAGATGTGACGTCATCTTTTTTGCTATCTGGAGAAATAAGACTGTTTGAAGGTAACGAAAAATATCAATTGCAAAAATGTGGAGAGCCAAACCCATTTTAGCTGTTTCACCCCTCCGTATTAAAATAGATGGTGCTCAGCTTTTCTGGATGGTTAAATTCAATATTTACTTTTTTGACTCTTCCTAATTTTCATTTGATTTGTTTTGTGTAATTCCTGTGTTCTCTAAACTGAACCAGAAATGATAATACATCAACAATGTGAAAGAGAAGTAGGGCTATTTGGGTAATACAAGATTTCCAAATGTAATGACATATTGTTTGAAGAATAATCTGAAGATGGTTGAATGATGGCACTGTGAAACATCCTAAATATAATCTATCACTGTTGTTCCCCTTTCTTAATAGGTATTCATGTTTTGGGGAATATGGTAATGTTTACACATCATAGAAAACAGAAAAGAGAAATATGATCAAAAGATCTCTTATCCACTTTTCCCCTTTTAATCATCTGAATATTTTATCTAACCCCTGGGAATAAGAAGTATAGGTACTTAAAGACTGGCAGTGAGAAAACAGAAGAAATATGAATTATCATTCTGTTAGTGTTTAAAGATATCAGTTATTGTCCTTTTGTATATTTAACTTTCTCTTTTCCCTCCTCCAATTCAAAATCCTTTGTAACCTATGTTCCTAAGGAACTGTACAATAAATACATGCCACCACTTGGAATAAACCTGTGAATAAGCTACCTGATGAGATCAATTTTTTTTTCTTAAGTGTATATTAAATTCAGAAGAGTATAATCCTTCTCGAGTTCGCTGTTGTTAGTTATGGTTATAGTATTTCCTAAAACTTTTTTTTTTTGAGAATGGAGCTGTGATAGTTGTGGAACCTGGAGGCTTTTAAGGAACTGATTGTTGATTGTCAGTTCAAAAAGTCTTTGACACATATTTAGTCTGGAGAATCTTATATCAAATTTCACCTTATTTTGAATTTTCAACTTTTAAAAATATTTTAAACCTATGAATTCTGCATCAAAAAGTTTGTTCTTAAAAAACAAAGCCCCTGTGAAGTTCTAAAGCATTCTTCCTTTTTGTAAAAGATTTAGATGTTTACAAATTGAAGAAGTATGTCTATTTCTCTTGATTTTTTTTTGCTCTGCACTAACAGTTCTGAACTCTTAACGTTTTCAAGATTTACAGTAGCTTTCTGTAACATGACACACTGTATGCTCACGTTATATGGTTCCATCCACTCACTTTGACTCATTTAGATATTACATTTTTGTATTTGCTAATTAGTTTTAGATTTGGGTCTGGTGATTTTTTCCTTTTGATTTAAGATAAATATAACTGAAGATGGCTCCCAAAGGAAAATGAACTTGTTTCTCTCTCTCTCTCTTTCTCTCTCTCTCTCTCTCTCTTTTAGGGCATAGTTGGAGGGGTGGTTTACTGGTACTATCTTTTCAAGCATATGTTCTTAAAAATGAAGTAACCTGTATTTTATTTAAGTTGCTATAGAAATGATTGTTGCTACTTTTAGTGGAACTCCAGTCAAAACTTTCTGCTTTATGGATTTTTTTCCAAATCCCAATTCTTAAAAAAAACTGAAGAGAAATTTGTAATCATGTAGACTACAGGAAAACTAACAAGAATATCAACAATAAAGTCAGCAAATTACAGGAACATTTCTTGATCATTAATTTAGTGAAAGAAAATAATAACTGGGAAGTTTGTTTTTAGGTGAGTAATGTGAAATAGAGTGGTGAACACTGAAATTTGAGGCTCTTCACACTCCTGCAACCTGGCTCCTATTAAAATGATTTGGATGGTTAGAGTGGAGATACAACAGGAGGTTATGTTCCCATTGTGATTTGATGAAAAGAATAAGGTTCCCTATTTTACCCAGTTCAGTTATTTGCAGCTTTGATAAGATTCCTTCTACTTTCTCTTCTAAGTTATTAACAAAAATGTTGGAGTCCAGAGTTGAGACACTCAGTAGTTTTCAAAGGTGGGGTTGTGTGCTTGACTTCTCAAAGATCCATAGTTTTGAGTAAGCTATTTATCTGCTCCTTGACATTTTTGATAATTTACCTGAGGAACCTATTTGTAGGAGTTGGGGCAAGTACCAATCATGAAAAAAAGGTTACATGCTTTAATGTACATAGATCCATGTGACTGAATGGCTGTCATGCAAAGAATTGACACAGAAATTCTGAAAAATAGTTTCTGTAGTGATGTGGAAGAAATCAAGCAGCCCTTCTTAGAAGTTGCAGACATTGCAAGATTAAGTCATAAAATGGTCTGTCAAATCATCTAACAAAAGTTAAACGGAAATTTGTAAGCTATTCTGTGAACACAAATAATACAGAAAAGGCCTTTCAGATTTGTACAAAGCTTCAGTTTAATCCATGGAAAAACTAAAGCTCATCTAGATCCATGAATGGATTCAGAAAGAATGATGGCAAACCAAAGGTTATTCAAATGAAACTGCTTTGGAGAAATATATCTGTGTGAAGGAGTATTTTACCCATACAAAATTGAAAGTAAGAAAAGATTGCTAAATGCATAGAAATTATTGCCTCTAGAAGTAATGGCTATCAGAAATGTAGCCTTAAAAAACAAGAACTGAACATAACTGGTTAAGACTTCAAAGGCATTAATCAGATGGGATAACATAACAGAAGAGGTATATGAACTATAGGAAGTAGTATAGAATGTATGCTTTTATGAACCTTGTCACACTTCTGTGAGACTAGAGACAAAAGGAATTGAAAAACCAGTAGCAAAACATATGGGATACATCAAGCCATCTGGATTCAACAAATGCAGTTTTCTACAAATAACGTTTGTAAAATGAAGTTTTTAATATTTTTAAAACAAGGCAGAGAGGGAACAATCTGAATTCTAGAACGAGGCTATCCATAAAGCTGATGCTTGCACCAAAAAAGGTTTACTCCTTGTGGATTCTAGCAATAAGCTCGTACAGAACTTCCAGCTTCACAGCATAAAGCAGAATCCATTACTTTAGCTAGGTGGACCCAAACTATTAAGGGATTTATATATTAACATAAATACAAATTTGACCCAGAAAACTACAGAAAGACAAGCAAATCAAGCTGCGTAAGTATTTCTTCACAGGGAGTATGACCCTGTTTAGTATAAGTAAGGGCTCCAACATTTTTTATCTACCCAAATAATTAGGCCCTCTCATTTGTCTGGGCTTAACTTTCACCTGTTCCATCTGATCCAGTATATAATCCGGCTCAAATAGTAGGGCAATGACACCTCTGATAGTAGAAAAAAACACATGTGAGCATTATATAAATATGTAGTCCACACATCCTGATAACCACACCAAGTATATATTCTTCATCCATTAGGGTGACTAGTCTGTTTCTATGCTGTGCCCAAGCCTGAAACTGGATTGAAATGGATCAGAAAGTCAGTTTCATCTAGAAGCAGGTGGCCATCACCTTTACTAAGAATGGTAAACATGAAATAGGTATATCGTGATTAAAAAATGGAACAACTTCAAGAGGGTTTCTTTAACAAACTTCTACCATCTCCTTCAAGGCAGGCAATATCAGACTGAATAAGGAAGGAACTAATGTTCAAAAGTGACACCTCCCTAAATTGATATTTCTCAGCAATGATACATGCCTTTTTTTCATAAATTACCACACAACTTTTAGAACACCCAATAACATTCCTTACCCATACATACATACATGATGGCTGACAATGGCCCTTGACTCGCATTCAAATTAATCTGGAGACAGATATATAGGTCACATTTCAAAACTAATTTCATCTTCAACCATCCTTTGAAGGAAATATCTAAAGAGAAACTGGAATCATGCTTATCAGCTGAATCTTGTTATAGCAATTCATTGGAATTTTTCTCTTCCTTTGAAAAACTAGGTGATTTGCCTTTCCCGTTAACGAAAGAAGTCAGGAAAGGTAACACATCCCATCTTACATCCAACTAATTGAAAAAATGCTCTATTTAATGCATTCTTGTAGAACATGTATTTACATGTTGGATCTTCAAAGAGATCTCCTTTTCTTTGTAGGGATTTAGGGATGGGATAACGGTCAGATAGGTGGTACATGTTGATACTTCAGTGACAAGAAATGCCAAAAATTTCCCTTTGGCTCAATCCACATTGAAAATTGGTTGTAGAATATAATTAAACAGAAAACTGCTAGCAAGGAAACACACAAAACAAGCAGCAGTCCAAGGAGTAACAGTTCCTGGATGATGTGCAGGATTAGATAGCTTAATGGGACGTCAAAAAATCTGTATGGAAAGAAGAGGGAGGAAAAGGAAACAAATACTAAAAGAAAAAAAGGCACCTGCAAATTTAAGTTAGATACAGAATCTGGAAACACAGGAGCTGAAATGAATTTTTACTGGATGAGGATTAGCAAGATCCTTTTACATTAGATCTAACGGTATGAAATTCATCATTTGTTTACTATGGTGCAAATATAAAATATTTAAAAATTATCAGAAAGCAACACAAATTATATTGTGGCTTTCTTCTTTTAACGTACTATATATGCAAAATAGAAATAATCCAAACAGATGGATTGTAACTCTTTTCACAGGAAAAGAATGTGGCCCCTATTAACTGGGTCAATTTTTTACTTCAGTGTTTAAACAACATTTAAACATTAAGAAACAAACTGCACTCCTGCACTCCTGATACAGCTCTTCTTTAATCAAGCCTAAAACAATATGTTGAGAAATCAGCACATTTTATATGCATGCAAATATGCTTGAGTGGCTACATTCTTAATTATTTAATTATTTAGTCTACTGTGTTCCACTTTCAAACATTTTAAGATCTTATGTCAATTGTATATACATCATTAATCTGTTTATTTCATACTGTATAGATACAAGAAAACTGGGGAAACATAATTACTCCAAAACCATTTGTTATTTTTTGAAATTGAGAATCAAAAGTTTAGTTGAATATTTTATATCTTTTGTTTACTTTATCAAAAGGCAAAATAGTATTCTTTATTAGCTGAACCACTAATTAGCTTCCTGAGAAGCTGGTCATCTGTCCTTTAATTATGATTTCCAATATATGAATCTTAATAATGAAATGTGGCATTCTCGGCCTTAAAATTGATTATCTGTTTTAGCATACTCTGGTCTAGTACTATAGTGACCATTTATGTTAGATTCACTTCTAGGCGCATTTCTATCTGAATAGTATCTGTAATAAATTTACTAGGCATGATAATTACATATATAGGTAGAAAGCAAAGCAAGCACTTACATATAATTCCTATTTTAAAAGGCTCAATTTGCTGTGGTGGGTAAGGCATCAAGCTAAAAACCAGGAGACTATGAGTTCTAGTCCCACTTGAGGCATGACCAACAAGGTGATCTTGGGCTAGTCATTCCCTCTCAGCCCTAGGAAGCAGGCAATGACAAACCATTTCCAAAATCTTGCCAAGAAAACTACAAGACTGCAAGACAGGCACCAGGAGTAAAGATTGATTTGAAGGCACAAAAAGTATGTAAAAATCGTAATAGAATACAAAAAATACTGGCAGTCTTCAACTTATGACAAATTGAGCGCAAAATTTATATTGCTAAGTGAGATATTTGTTAAGTGAATTTTGCCCCATTTTACAATGTTTCTTGTCATATTTGTTAAGTGAATCACTGCAGTTAATTTAATAACAGGGTTGTTAAGTGAATCTGCTTCTCTCATTGCCTTTGCTTGTCAGGTCACAAAAGGTAATCACACGAACCCGGAATACTGCAACCATTATAAATATGGGTCGGTTGCCAAGCCCCTCTGAATTTTGATCACATCACCATGGGGATGCTGCAACAGTTGTAAATTTAAAAAATTGTCATGTCACTTTTTTCAGTGCTGTTGTAACTTTGAACAGTCATTAATGAACTGTTGTTAAGTCAAGGACTAGTTGTAGTAACGGTACATGAAAGAAGAATAAATATTATTGGCAAAAGTATGTGACAAATATAGCGATTCCTTACCTTTGAAGTAGGATTTCATTTGAGTGGCCATTAGTTTTTTTCCAAACATTTGGGATTAGTTCACCATCTTTTGGGATGAAAGGGTATTTCCGCAAGGCTTCTTCAGAGCTTCTGAAACAAAAGCCCCACATACTATAGAACTTACGTGCTAACATACTTCATTTGAGACAATATACATCTATGTCACTGCCTCCTGGGATCTGTTGTGTCAGTTATGGCTTGAGTAAGACAAAATCATTAGAAACTTCCGGAATAATCTATCCCATTCAGATTCTGATATAATTTTCTTCTACTTTAAAATGGAAAAAGCAACTATAAGTATATATCAATCTCAAGCTGAAATAGTGTAAAAGTAAAAAACCCATGATTATCCTAACTCCTGCTGATTCAGGAATGCTGAGAATAAAAAGTAAAAATAATTGCCCAGCCCTAAGATGTACAGCAACAAAAAACCATCCCCACAAAATGAAGGCAAGAACTTGTATTTGACATGTAACTATCTCCTGAAGAAGCAAATAGAAAAACAAAAACTTATCAAATCACCATATATATTGAGGATGGTATAGTGATCCCTATCAGTATGCAAGGGGTTAGATCAGATAATCTTTGTGGTCCCTTTCAACCCTATGGTTCTATTACTTGGTAGAGTTACCAAGCTGTTAATGTTCCTTTTACAGGACTTGGCAGGACAGCTTAACCTCAGAAACTAAGAAAGGAATGAAACAAAAGTTCTCCTCTTGATAAATAACCCACAATTCTTGACAGTTAATAGCTAAAGAAAAATTTCTTTTTCTACTAAACTGGCTCAGCTGTTAAAAAGATTTCATAGGTGCTGAACCAAACAAGAAGTAGCATTAATACCCCATGTGCAAGTACAATTGCTTCTCCAAAATATATAGTTGTTGTTCTTCACTGAAAGCACAAATTCTGCTACTAACAGTAGACCAACACCTTCTTCTGGACTCAACACGTACACTTACAATTCTGCTGAGCTGAAAACCATGATTTCTTGAAAGTTAAAATGCACCATCTTGAGGGGAAATGATGAATAACATGTTAATACTGATAAATACTTATTAATAATAAAAAAAAATAATGAAAATATGTTGTTCAATTATTTAAGCATTTTTTCTCATCTCCCAATCTGAAAATTTAAATCTATAAATATGTTCGTTTGTATATATGTATATAAGAAATAGGCATCACTGAGATTAAAATAAATAATTCAACCTAGGACAGAACCCATTAGAAAAATAGATTTTAAAAAATTGGTATTTCTTTTATCCCACAAACTCTTATTTCAAAATAATTTTATGTGGATAAGTTCTCAACGTACTTATCAAAGTATCTAAATAGTATATCAGCATGAAATGTACTACTCTTAATAGCTATTATGCCTCGGTAACTATGCTAGCACTGTATTGTGTTTACCATTTTAATGAATACAAAAGTAAGAAGAGATTACTTGATTCCCTTGGTTTGTTTCCTTCCCCCCAAAAGGTCTCCTACCAGCAGAGAAACAATTGCTATTCACTGCCAATAATTTGCAGTGGGATGAAATTGGAAAAGAATAGGCAAGTGCAGAGAACATGTTTAGCCAGCTGTTGATGTGTCTGGCTTATCAGCGTAGGGTGTGTTTCACACCTGTCAGTTGTGTCTAGTGATCTGCTAAAAGAACATTAAACTCAAGTCTCAAAATGCCCAGACTGAGTTGTGAGGATGAATGAGAATGAAACTGGAGAGAGCAATTCATGGCAAGTGAACGCTGTCCTTGAATAATGAAAATAGTGATATTTCAGCAAATTCACTTGTTTGGGGGGATGTCAGCATCAAGAAATAACCCGTAGATTGCCATAAATTTGAAATGATGTAGGAAAATAACACCATCCAATATTCCTTGTATTAAATGTCCCCTTGCAGTCTAAAATTGCAAATATACATAGGGCAGTTTCTCTCCCAGTTTCAACAACTAAATTGTGGATGAAGCATGATGGATCATATCCATGACAAAAACTACATAGAAGAGGGCACTGCTTTAAAACTGGAACAGCTAAATATGACTTTAAGGCAATGTCATGAGGACATGGAATTAAAAAAAAAGGTTATTGGGACATGCTCATGTTGTAGGGAAGAGTACATGAGGATGAGCCTTTAATTCCAGTACAGCTTAGGATAACTTAAATCTTTCTGACTCGTGGGCCAGAAATGATACAGAAGCAATATCAAGGGTACCATATATAGAAGAAAATAGATGTTACTAGGGCATGTTTATGCAATAGCTAGAGGCAAGATGGGAAAGACCCAGGGACTGTATTACCTGTCCAAATTTACTTACATACCTTCTTTTATTCGGTCAAATTGAAGCTATTTCTAAAAAATATTAACTCAGTAAATTCAAATAAACATACAGAAGGTAGACAAGTGATAGTTTACAAAAACAAATCTCATGCAAGAAATAATCCTGTATACTGTCTTTAATATTTCATCATTCCTATTACAGCCTAAATAACATTAAGCAAAAATATTCCTTTTATGTTATATTTTCCTAGGAGAAAACCAAATAGCTTTCCACAAGATACTTGCAACTATATAAATCAAAGGTACCTCTTTTATCTAGGAAAAGACAATTAAATAAAATAGGAAATGGATGTAAAAAAAAACTCCTTATTTGTTATGATACCATTCTCTGGCTGTGTGAGAATTAATTCTAACAATGGATAGGAATATAAATTGAAAAAGACAGGTTCACTACTGATGTAAATTTCTTAGACACAACTACAGTAAACAAGCTGTAAAAAGCTCAGTTCCTATTCCCATCAATATCTTTGTTTCTGTTTGTTTGTTTCTTCTTCAGAGTTTGACAAGACAGACAGAGCTAACAGACGTAGTCTTGTTTTGTGATCACTCCAAAGCCTTCATTCTTGAAGGAGAATCAACTGTAATTATACCTTGGCTTAGGTTCAAAGTTATACAGGAATATGGTATGAATAAGAAACAATAGACAGCAACAGGAGAAATTGTGCAAATAATAGTTATGATGTTTAGCTTTAACTAAAGATATCTTAGACATTATTTCAGGCCTAATATTATATACTGTGCTAAACTCTGTTTTACTTAACCATATTTTGATAAACTAACTATAAAGCAGATATCCAATAAATCAAAGCTCATATTCCATAATTGGGCTCGTACTACAAAAGTCAAATTGAGAAAAATATCCCCAAAACATAGAATATTAAGGTATATGTAATACTGCACAAAAAACTAAGCAGAGAGATTCAAAAATATGGATATGTTCAAGCATAAAAAAATGCCTAGGGAGTATGAAACAGTACTACGGATATTCAAATATCTGAAAGGAGATCGTATAGTTTATGGAAAAGTCTGGCATCCGTAGCTAAATTCTATGTTTCAATAAATACCTAAATGAGGAGATGTTGATCTGCATGTTACAAAGACAAACAAGGTATTTTTCTGGAGACGTGAATACAAACATGGTTGTTCAGAGCTTTAAATATGTATAAGCCAGTGTAATTTAGATATTTTTACAGTTAATTCAGTGCATAAAGACTGCCAATCATTCTATCTAAAAATAGCCATTTTCCAGATTAGAAATGTCTATGTCATTATTTTTCTTTGCAAGTACAAGAAAGTACCTGAGACTCTATATTAGATGAGTAGGCCCATACATCCATGTTCTTTAGAGTCAATTCAAGAGTCTTGCTATTGCCAGTGTGTTCATTTGTCAGGGTTTGTTCTGATTCCTCCCTGTTGGATTGGAGGAAAAAATGATAATCATTACACATAGATAGATACAGAGATACAACAGAAAATGTAAACTTCTTCAGTATGATATGAAGAAACTTTTAACAAGAAGATTAAAATGCTCGTTGTATATGGACATTTCCCTTTTCTAGATAACAATGGCAGAACATGCCCTAGAAACTCTTGCCATGTCCTTAAGACCTTGGCAATTCATACTTAAGAGATCTTAAGTTACCCTTAGCTATTCTAACTATAAAGTAGCTCTCCCCTTTAAGCAGGCATAAGTCCTAAACAAATTTTCTATGAGTGTAATCTGCTAAGTATATAAGCCACAATAAACAAGGGAGGAATCTGGAATGCTATCCAGAACTAGTTGATAGTTATGAGTTTGCAGAATCCAATGTGAGTCATTCATGAGGACCAAAGGTTTAGTCTTCCAAGTTTTTGGATTCATGCTGGAGCCCATCTTCAAGGAACTTCTCCCTATCGGAATGTGTTATTTGGGCTACTCCATGTGTTATATTTATGTGGTGCCTGGTTGGTGTGGCTTCCTTTTGCTTGACTAGTGTGTTGATGGCCAGCTATTGGCTGTTGTTTCCTTGTGTTGTCCAGTCCTAGCTTGAAGTACCTGATAAGCTGGTGGTAAATAAAGCACGCCTGTTAATTGACAAAGGTCCTATTTCCCAAGCTTCAATCAGAATGCATGGAATGAAATGAAATTCAATGTAGAGAAAAGTAAAGTCCTACACTTAGGCAAGAAAAACCAAAAGTACACATATAAACTGGGTGAAACCAGGCTCAATAGCAGTAACTGTGAGAGTACACATATAAACTGGGTGAAACCAGGCTCAATAGCAGTAACTGTGAGAGGGATCTTGGAGTCTTAGTGGACAACCAGCTAAATATGAGCCAGCAGTGTGCAGCAGTAGCCAAAAAAGCTAATGCAATCCTAAGTTGCATTAACAGAGGGATACAATCAAGATCAAGTGAGGTACTAATACCACTCTATAAAGCCTTAGTAAGACCACACCTAGAGTATTGCATCCAGTTTTGGTCACCACATTATAAAAAAGATGTTGAGACTCTAGAAAAAGTGCAGAGAAGAGCAACCAGGATGATTAGGGGACTGGAGACTAAAGCATATGAAGAACAGTTGCAGAAACTCGGCTTGGCTAGTCTAGTGAAGAAAAGGACCAGGGGAGACATGATAGCAGTCTTCCAATATTTGAGGGGCTGCCACAGAGAGGAAGGGGTCAAGCTATTTTCTAAAGCGCCTGTAAGCCAGACAAGGAATAATGGATGGAAACTGAACAGGGAGAGATTTAACCTGGAAATAAGGAGAAACGTTCTGACAGTGAGAACAATCAACCAATGGAACAGTTTGCCCTCAGAAGTTGTGGGAGTGCCATCACTTGAGACTTTCAAGAAGAGATTGGACTGCCATTTGTCAGAAATGGTGTATGGTCTCCTGCTTGGGCGGGGGGTTGGACTAGATGACCTATACGGTCCCTTCCAACTCTGATTATCTGTTATCTGTTATATCTGAATATTGATCTTGCAATAAATTATGGTTTCTAGGCTTCTATCTTCCTGCCTATTGACAAGCACATCTAAAACTGGTAATTGTCTAGCTGCTTCTTTCTCCATTGTGAATTTTATGTCTGGGAAGATGGAGTTCAGTAGGGTATGAAAGTTTTTCACTGCATTTCTGTTGATGATGACAAATGTGTCATCCACATAGTGGCACCAAAATATAGCAGTATACTTTGGAATGCACAGTGTTCTAGTTCATGCAGGACAGTTTCTGCAATGATTCTGATATTGGGGATACCATTGGTGTCCCTTTTATTTGCTCAAACATTTCCCTTTTGAACATGAAGAAGGTAGGTTGGCAGTATTGGAGTAGATTCATAATTTGTGTCCTGGTGAGGTTGTTGTGTTGTACTCTATTACTTTGTATGCTAAATGGGGAGGATACAAATAGGGGTACTACATCAAAGAAGACATGATCTCATCAGGAGCCACATTTAACCCTTGTAATTTTATCAAAGGTTGTGTGGATGAGTTCAAAGGTGGGGTCAGGAAGCTTAAAAGTTGTGCCAGCCATTTACCCGGGTTCTAGGTAGGGGTATCTCATAGCATTACAATAGGTCTGAGGGGGATTCCAATTTTGTGTATCTTGGAGAGTCCACAAAATCTCACTGGGGCAGCATCTATCGCTCTCATTTTCCAATATTTGTTTCTGTTTTGTCCCTATTTACATTAATCTCTGGGGGCTGCAGTGGCTCATGTGGTAAGATGCTGGGCTTGTGCACTGCTAAAGTCGGCAGCTTAGCAGTTCAATTCCTATGAGCGAATAAACCACACAGGGACAAGAAAGGAGCCTCCCCTGAATGCCTACCAGCATTCAGGTGTCCCGAGAGTAAAGATAACACCACATGAAAAATTCCTTTCACAAAGGCAGCTAGTCACCACAGTGATCCCTGGCTAATAGGTGCCATATGCTAAATAAATAAATAAAACATCCATCCCATAGAAGTATTCAAGTGTTAAAAAGAAAAGTTCATTTCCAAAGAGGTCTGGATGTTCTCAATCACTTGCCCAACTTATAGCTAAACTCTTGATCAAAGAATTTCTTTGAGACTTAAAAATTCTCATTTAATCAGCAATGTCATCATTGTTCTTACCTTCCCCATTTCTGTGAGAGAAGATGATTTCGGTCCTGTTTCTGTTCCTGATTCTTCAATATTAGTTTACCATCAGTCGAAAGGCTTAACTGAGGCAAGATATGTGAAACTGGAAATAATGCTTTGATATCATCTGACTTTTTCTTGCTATGTTCCTAGGGGAAGAGAAAAAGAACAGCAGCCAGAACAATAGAACTCACATTAGTTCTTTATCAGTTCTTAACAAGACTGAAAACAAGACTTTTTAAGCTACTTAAAAAGGTTGTGAAAGTAGTGCTATCATATATAAGCTACAAATATTCAGACAACTATTGCCCAGAAAGTTAAAGAAAGTGAAATTCTATCTTTTATATGAAGAAATAAAGATGATGCTTTGAATTCTAATTAAGTATATATTAATTTTAATGCTATATTGTTCATCCAAATAGTTCTAAATTAATTAGAAGTTGTTTATCTTGATGATAAACTTGGATTGTTTTAATCCATTATGGAAGATTTCCAAAAGCAAAAGGGCTGAATATCAATCATTATTGGATGATCTTCTAACCTTCTGCTGAGTAGACTTGAAGGGATGTTCTCAAGTCTACTGAAACCCTGAACAATATCTGCTGAAGACATTGAATTAACATTGAATTAGCTGCAGATATCACTTGGAATTAATTAGTTTAAAAAAAAACTAAAAACAGAAATATGGATTATCAAATAATCTGTCAAAATCAACTTTTTGAATCATTTGCCATTATTAAAGGATGCTCACTGCTGTGAAATCTAGAGTAGGTGTCATTGTAATTCAGGTTTTGAGGAAAAAGGGGGGGAACCCAATGTACTTGTGATTCTATATTTACCTGTTCTGTCAAATAATCAATGCTTCCTTCAGCCACTGGATGTATCACCAAAGAATTCAACATCCCACACAAAGGACTAGGCAAGTCACACTCCTTACTGAGGTCCTGATACATACAACGAAGATATGTCAAGTCATAGTTTGAGGAATGTTGTATATAATTTAATACTTATTAATATAGCATTTAATGAAAGAGATTTTTTTCTAATACCCCAAAGTAAAATATTTTGTTCTTGGCAAAATGTTATTCCCCTCACAGAAGGATATCTATTTCTACTACATATGTTATATGCATTATAACTGGAACAGTCTAGGTCTGTAATGTGATAACTCTCTTCTGGTACTGGACTGTAGTATGACAATTCCATTCCTATACTGATTGAGTTGGTAATGAATACTAATTCACTATAAGACAGCATAGGTGTGACCATCCAACTTTAATTATAATTTAATATTAACATATACAATACAGTTATTGTGCAAAGTTTTAAATCTGAAAAGGAAGATGTGTTTTGAAGCATGGATACAGGTAACACAATAGCAATTCCTTACATTCAACTTCACAGGAACTATGCAATTCCTGGGGGAAAGGCAATTATTTTTGTGTGGACTGAATTGGTAATGCCAGAAGCAAAGAATCTCAAATCAAATAGTACTATTACCAAAACATGCATAGGTACCTGCACATTCAGGGCTGAAAAATGAGTGGCATTGTCCATTACTATATAAAAACAAGCAGAGGACTTGTAATATTTAAACCATGAATTGTTTATAGAGGGCTTGATCACAATCAAGTTGATTTTAGTTATCTGGGCTTCTATCTGTAAAAGTAACTTATTGATCTGAGCCATGTCTTTGTTTCTTCATATTGCTCCAGGTGCAACTTTGAATTTTCAGAAATTTATTGTCAAATCCTGGGTGAAATTGCAATAGCTTTAAAGAATTGCAAGCATGTGCTTTTTTGGCCCTTACATTCAAACAATCCCAATTTCCAAAATTAATCTATCATTCCATAAATTTCTTCTTAATTTTAATAAGCTTGTCGCATTTACTGTTTTATTAATTTACTATAATTGTCCCACTTTAAAATCCTGAACAAATTTATAATTTCAAACAATTAAAAGCGTAACAACACAGAGTAACAGCCTTAATAGTTAAAGAAACAAACAAACAAACAAAACCACAAGAATTCTAACTAACACTGGGCCTGGGAAAATGGCCAAGTCTTATGAGTCTTCTAGAACTCTGAGTTGGTTTTGTTGGCTAGGGCTTACTTGGCTCTACTTATACTTCAAAGAATGCAAGTAACAATTCTCTATTCATTTCATTCTATGGGTTAGGTATAGTTAAATGCAAAATGTTCATGATAATTTTCTGGTCTTCTATTCTTCAATATGTTCTCAATTTATGTTCAAAATACCCAAGATTATTATAAGTTCATCTAAAACAATGACATAACTCTCTAAATAGAAATGCTTCTTACGCTACGTGATTCTTCAATCTCTTTGTAGAGTGACTGTGCCTGTATGGGACCACTCATGTTTGGTAGAGAGTTTGTTGGCGGCCTGCATCAAGAAAATAACTACTGCTGAGTTGTAGTTTTCCATTTCTGTTATATTTCTGTAGCTATATCTGATATGAAAAATGGTTTAAATTATATAGTAAAACTGAATAAATTGGAAGGTGATATGTATTATTTATTAACCATTTATTTCTTTGTGTTTAATAAAAAATCTTCCCAGAATTAGTTAATATAGTTAAGCTAATATAATAAAATGGTTTTATATTACATATGTGTTACATAATTTCTTGTGAATCAATGAGACTGACCATGATTCGTCAAAAGGAATAATGTAATTACAAATTAGCCTCAAGTTTTGTTGGAATAGCAGTTATACATGGTATTTATTTAATATCATGATTTAATCTTTCCTTAAAAATACAGTTGTAACTAATATTATAGTATTAGCATTCAATAAGCATTATGGTACATCTTAAAACTCTCACACTAAAAATATCTAATGCTGATAGCACTTACATTTTTAAGTCTTGATAGGATTGACATATTTGTTCTTGAAGCCTACTAACTTCCAGCTTCAATTCCTATATGGACAGTGCAATATAAAGATATGTACAACAGCTGCTATAATAGTGCGGAGGAAAGAAGCAATGCAGTAGCTAAATAGGTATATCTAGAAATTTGCATAGATTTACTTTACAGGAACGTTCAATTTCATTAACATTTCAGTAATTCCACTGATGTAGAATACTTGCCATAAGCTGAAGAAAGGGTCGAAAAAACTGTAAACCTTCACCTTCCTGATCTGAGTTACCAATACTTTTACAATTATGTAACTGAAATGGGAAACTTTAGGATAATAATCTGTGGATATTCCAAGCAAGCTTGTCCCTGGATTGCTTAATGACACTGGACAGATTCTTTCTTATCACAATTAAAATGTACATTACCTGTACCATCATTCGATATTCGTCTAGAATTATTGTAAGCTCTTCTGTTTGTTTTATTTTCTATAAATATAAACATTAATAAAATCCATACAAGAAAGTAACTCAGCATCACAAAGCAAACTGTATTCTAGTAAAAATTTCGAAACTAGCTATCTGAACTCAGGAATCATTTCTTTTTTCATAATCAAATTAAATTTAACACTGAAGTTGTAGTGACACCTATGGATTCCTAAATGCAGAGAGAAAACAAGTTAGGCTGAGGTTCTCAATTATTTTAACATCTGATTATTGTAAAATGTATTATCTCTGCAGCATCAATGTTTCAGGTTCATAGAAAAAATTTGAAAAAGTGAAGCAGCTTTAATAAATTAGTGGTTATGTTTTAAAATGGTACCTGCATTTATTATTATAGTAGCCATGATAGCCATGAAAACTCTTCATTACTGTAAAACAATAGTTGTTTCAACTGCTATCATCATAATAGCACAAAATATCATAAGACAATATGAGTCTTATTATTTTACACACACACCTCAGTATGACATAACTACTTTTTCAATTTAGCATACCCTGGACAAACAACTCACCTTATTAAGGGCAGCCTCTTTGCAAGAGATATGATTTTCATACTCAGAGAGTTGTGACTACAAGGAAATAAAAATACAAATACAGTAGTTGTAATCATATAGCCAAATTACAAGTACTGCAGTTAACTACCCAACTAGTGGTACACTGACATTTTCAATAAGCTATATATACAACTCAGCTCATTCATACCTTCATTTTGGTTTTCTTTGTAAATAACTCTTTGATTTTACCCTCTGAGCTTTCTTTTTCTAGAAGCAGCTTTTTGTTCTGGAAGACAAATGCAACAGATAATTAATGTTTCTTACCTCTGATTAATGTTTCTTACCTCTGTTGATGGTGTTTCAATTAGTTTCTTTTCCAGCTGCATGAGGAAGATGTTAAAATCCAATGTACAACAAGTAGATAATATATACAATTACACTTTTATAGGGGAATATGCAATTTCATGCAGTGATTCTTTTTGAAATAAAAGATTAGCTGTGCAGTTGTTAAAGAATATCTCACTTTTATTCTTACGCTATCCAAAGGCAGTCTTAAGGTATAGAATGTATGTTAGGTTTTGTTAACCAATATCTAAAAGGGAGGTCAGGTAATTATAGTGACTTGTAAAAGAGGTTAGATAGGGATCAGCAATGAGGACGGAAAATTTCAAGCTGGTACAATTTTCTGCTGCCTTTGAAATTCTGTTAAATTAAAGTGATTAGTGAGTCCTGAATTATTTCAGGTATAACTACTATAACTTCACTTTCTGAACTCTCCCCTCTTTACCTCACCTCATCCTGAAGGTTATCCATCTTAACAGAGAGAAGCTGCTGCTCTTTTTCCTAAAGAATATAGGAGAAAACATATTAATTAAATGGTAGTCACAAAAATTTTGATAAAATTTCAATCAATACTACATTTTCATGACTGTGAAGGTTTAAATAAGCTTGTGACTGCGCTTAAAACGAAGGTCCCCTTTTTATTCCTCAAATATTCATAAAGTAATTTAAAGAGCATGCCTGTGTTCACTGCTCCCATTCTTGCAACAGTCTAAACTGATCATACAAGGATCAATGCTCCCTACATTTTTTTCTTCCCAAACCCCAAAAACTTTAATCTTAGACTGTCTACTATTGACCTCACCCCTTTCCTAAGAGGTCTGTAGGGGCATAAATAAGCACACCAATCATGCCTACCATCCCTGTCCTATTGTTTCTTTTTATTTTTCTTATACGTGTCCATCTCATGTATTCAAAACTATGTTTATACTTATACCTGTTATCTTGTAAGCGATTGACAAATAAATAAATAAATAAATAAATTGGAATACCAAAACTGACAGACTGTACCTGTTCCCTCTGCAGACCATGTGTACCCAGCTTGATCTTTTGTGACGCAGCTGCTAGACAAACAAAGTTTTCTCCCCAGGGTCATTCACAGTGGTTCTTCAAAAGAACCGGGGATATGGCCTCATGCAGCCAGCAGCTGCCTCACAAAAGCCAGAGGCAGGCATGCCTCATATGCAACAGGAGCAAGATGGCACAGCTAGAGCAGTGGAGTGTAGGACGGCAGGAGCCTCGGAGTGCAGAGTGGCAAAGCCAACTGCATCTGGGACTGGGTTGGGGTAGCTGAGATTTCCTGGAATGGCTGGGGTTTTCCATCACATTGCTGGTATGGTTGGGGCTTTATGCCACACTAGGACAGCCGGGACTTCCCAAGTTACTGTAGCTCAGTGGCTTCTTGCATCCCCAGTGCCCCAATGCACCAAGGAGCCTCTGAGCCATAATGTGGCAGGAGGTTCCAGAGCTGAGCAGTACTAAGGCTGTTTGCCAACCCATATGACAGGGTGCAGGGCAGCCAAAAGGGCACAGATGGAGAGGAGATAGGCAGGTGGAAAGAATTGAAAAGGAGGCAATCCTTTATCTTGCTGAAGCTCAAGGCCAAGCCCAGAAGAGCTTGGACTGAGCAGATATTCAACTAACAACCAACAGAATTCAGTTAATGACAGCAACAAGCAGTGCGAGGATTGCTATTGCTAAGGTGTAAGCATGATGTCATGCTTCACAACTGCATTGCTTAAGCAACCGAAATTCCAATCTCAATTCTAGTCATGAGTTGAGGTCTACCTGTGGTCCTGCAGTTTTTTTGACAAGGCTTTTTCAGATTTGCCTCCACCTCCTGAGAGGGAGTGGCCTAAGATCACACGGCTGGTTTTGTGCTTAAGGTGGAGCTAGAACATACAACGAGATTGAAAGTATGCCCATCAACATGCATCAAACCCAAGATACCTGGACACATGCCTATAATCATTCCATAGAACATGAATTCTGAATTTCCCTATTTAAAAGGTCCCCTGAACTGTGACTTAAATCCAGTCTGAAGCAGGAGATTCAAGGTTCTGGACTGAAACAAGAGTATGTACCAATGGAAAATAAATGCTTTCAGGTGTTTCAGGTACCAACTGTTTGCAGTGATATCTCCCATACAACTGCTAAGAAATTAATCAGTTCTGCTGCCCAACCACTATGTGCATATGAAAAGCCTCTAATAGTTTTAGAATTAATTTTGCAAAAGACTTGAACTTTCCAATAAAAAGGCCAAACCAATAATAAATATAAGGCAAAAGAAATATGCATACACTGATTTCCTAAAGGAAAAATATATTGATAGATTACAAAATAATTATACAGGGAGACCTACCAACTGCCGTGCTTGTGTGTGTAATCTATTATTTTCCTCCTCCATACTTTTTGAAAAAAATTTCAGATCTTCCAATTCATTTGCCAAGATTTTAGCTTGTTCCAGTATTTGCTGGTTACTGAAATATAACAAAGATTGTGTTCAGTCATATTGGTCTGAATTCTGCCTTTAACCTTTATTAATATGAATATACGATAATCTGACAAAGTTGAAAATGAAAGGAAGAAATAATTAGATATTAAGCTCAAAATTAAGGAAGAAGGTAACCTAGGCACAAACTTATATTGAGAAACTGACCCTGTAGAAACAAAAAAACAGTATAAAAAGATGTTGACAGAGAAAAATATATGAGGCATAAGACATGTTTGGTGGAGTGACAATATTTCAAAGAACTGTACTGATCCCTCATTGAATTACTTCTCTTTTTAACTTTCAGCAACATACGCATGTTGTATAAATGCATTCAAATTATTTTTTTTCCTTTTCTTAAGTGCTTTCCGACATTTTTACTATCTTGCCTTCTGAGATTAATCCTTATCAATGGCCCCATGTAAGACAGTTTACCCTCTCAGCTTCCCTTTCAATTGAGAAATCTCTTCAGAGAGTCTTGAATTGAGCTCTTCTGCAGCCTCTATAGTTCTCTGTAGTTTAGCATTCTGCACTGCTAACTGTTTGTTGTCATGCTGTAAGTCCTTGATACTATTTGTCAGGTCAGTAGCCTCTTCCCTTTTGGGGGAAAAAAACAGGAAAAGCCAATAAATTGGACAGTGATTTTTGCCGTTATATTTCATTATAATGCTAATTATACCTTACCATTACATATTCTATATATGGTATGTAACATTGGATCAAATATTTTATCTTAAGCAACAAATTATTCATTACAACTATGGGGTCCAGAATACTTGTGGACAAATAGTTCCTATTGCTAATAATTCATTCTTCTTCTGATATAAACTACAGATTCATTGCAAGTAATTTTTCACTATTTCATCTATTATCACAAATATTGTGGATATATATCTTTCAATGTGTATTTTATATTTAAAATATTATTCACCTCACTTCTTATTCAAAAGGTTCTCATAGTGGCTGACAAATATAAGTCAGTTAGCCAGATCATACATATACCATATATATATATATGTACAAAGTAAGCAGAATTTTTTTTAAAAAAAACTTTTTTTATCCTGATTACACAACATGTTGTGGCATATAATTCCTTTTAAAACTATCTTAGCAAGAGATTGACTATAAGAATTCACAGAAGATACTACATCTTGAATTAGCATTAGTGTATATATTTTTTCTACATTGCGTTGATGAGATTGCACTCAAACTAGTATATATTATTTCTGATGGCATTTAGTTATTCACGTTAATAAAGCATTAAGAAAACTAAAGCACTGAGAAAACTAAACAAAAATATAAAACTATCAGCCTTTATAATTAACACATGCTTCTCAAAATTGATACTATGTGAGGTAAGTTTATTGGAGTTTCACTAGAGTTTCACCTCTAGTGTATATTTTTTATTATTGGTATACACATTTCTGCAAACTTACCTTATTGCCATCAAACAACAGCTAATATTTATGCTGTGTGCTCAGTAGTGGGATTCAAATAATTTAACAACCGGTTCTCTGCCCTAGCTGGGTAAGCATGACTGGGTGGTATGTGACTGGGTGGGCGTGGCCAACTTGACATCACTCATCACACCCAGCCCCGCCTCCCAGCCACTCTCCCTTTACCCAGGCCTTGGAGGTATACACAACACCTCCAGAAATGAAACAGTTAAGCAACCCCCAGTTTTCTGGTGCGAATGCTCCCAGTGAAAGAATGGGGAGAGACCAGCAAAGCAGTCTGCTTGCATAACCAAGGAAAGTAAGACATTGGAAGCTGAGCTTATTAAAAAGCAATATATTGTGTCATAACAGCCAACATTTCATTCCTGAGTTGGCAGAGGCAATAAATCCCATTGACTCCTCAGAAGCAATTTGCAATTAAAACTGATTTGCACCCCAAAAATTATAAATAGCAGAAGGATTGACAGTGCTTCTGTGCAGGCAGTTCTGAAAGAGACTAAGCTAAAGCTGGATTAACCCCTTCCCTCCCTTGCCTCATTCCCATCTCTTTCCTTCCTTCCTTCTCTTTCCATTCTTCCTTCTTCTCATTTCTATCTCCTTCCTTCCTTCATTTTTCGGCCTGTTTTTTGGCCTTTTCCAGGCCATTTTTTGACCTTTTCCAGCTGTTTTTTGGGCCATTTTTGTCCTGAAAAATGGCCCCAAAACAGCTGAAAAATGGCCTGAAAAAAGGCCCAAAACACGGTCCGAAAACAGCCATTTTCAAAAAGTGTCCTGAAAAAGGGGTGGGGTGGGGGACAGCCAGTGCTGGGATTAGCCAGTTCGCTGAACTGGGAAGAACTTTAACAATCAGTTCGTTTGAACTGGCTGAATACTACCTCTGTGTGTGCTTCAATTAAAAAAGTTCCTGCACAATATTTATGGAATAAATTTTAGAAATATCAGATGAAATTCAGGTATGTGCAGTCCCCTACATCACCATCTCACTGAAAGTCATTATTAATAGATATTATGCACGTTGATAAATACTGTATTTGAACAAGGGGAAAATCAGATATTTTCTCCATTGAAAATCAATAGTTTGAGGAACTAAGTTGGCACTGAATAGCCTTTCGATTTGCTACGACCTTAATGTGTTTGCCCTACTAAGTGCTAGTAGAATATTTAGCCAACTTTCTAGAGTTATAAGACTCTTAATTGATATAAAAATTTAGTTTACTTTATTGTCATTGCACCTCATACAATGAAATCAAACATCATCTTCAGTGCACACCATGACCATGAAAATAAACACAAAAACACATCCTTCAACCTTCACACATTGAATCGGAAACCCGACACCACACCAACACTGCACTATACAGCAGAATTCCAAAGAGCTACTGCCCTGGGATAGAAGCTGTTTTTCAGCCTATTTGTCCTTGTTTTTATTATTATTATTTTTTATAAAAGTTTTTATTGTTTTTTAACATACAAACAAACAGACAAAACATAAAAACATCAGCTCCCCCATATTTATATACAAACAGTGAGTCGGTTGGTTCATCAGTTTTGTGCGTTCACTTCATAGTCACAATTACAATTACCTTATATAATAACTCTTATTGTCAATACAAACTTATAAATCATCATATCATTATTAAAAAAAAAGAAGTTTGACTATACTTTTATTCGATCATGCCTTTGTGAGATAACTATATTTTAAGTAATTTATTCTAAAACAAATCATATAATCGTGCCAGTTCTATCCTAAATAAGAGAGAAAAAAGGAAAAAGAAAACCATTATATAAATATAATATCCAATACCAAAAAAGAGAAAAGAAAAATAAATTCAATATTATTCCTTATTATCTAACATTTCAAATATTCTATTTTTGTATTTCATCATTCAGCCATTGATAGAAAAGATCCCAAATTATATAAAATTGTTTATCTTCTTGCTCTCTGATTTCAAAAGTCAATCTACTCATCTCAGCACATTCCAATATTTTCTTTATAACTTCTTCCTGCAATGGAATTTTCTCATTTTTCCAATTCTTTGCAAATACAATCCTAGCCGCAGTCAATACATTTACAATCAAATATTTCAACTCTTTACTATAAACATCTGGTAAGATTCCCAATAAAAAAAAAACTCCGGTTTCAAGTCTATGTGCTTCTTTGTCATTTTTTCCAACCACATGTGGATTTTAGTCCAATATTTTCTAGCATCCTCACAAGTCCACCACATATGGTAGTATGAACCAGGTTTCTGATGACATTTCCAGCATTTTTCGGATTTGTTCTTGAACATTCTTGCTATCCTTGTCGGAGGAAAATGCCACCTGTAAAACATCTTATACAAATTTTCTTTATAGGCTGTAGACATTGTCATTTTATAATTTTGCAACCATAATTTCTGCCATTTCTCTAAATCAATCCCATATCCAAAATTCCTCCCCCAGGCAATCATAGTTTCTTTAACTTGTTCTTCCTCCAGCTTAATTTTCAATAAGTAACCATATAATTTTTTAATCACCTTTTCATCAGTACCCATCAAAATCTTATCTAAATCAGTTTGTTTATCATAAAATCCCTCTGTTTTGGAATCCTCATGATACTTTGCATGTATTTGCAAATATGAAAACCAATTCATCTGTATACCTTGTTCCTCTAATTTTTGTATCGATTTAAGTTCACCCTTTTCATCTAGTAATTCCCCATAGCTAACTGTTTGTTCCTTTTTATAAATTATAGGGTAAGAAAACGCTTCTATCGTCGATAACCAAACTGGAATTTTCAAATAACATTGTTTTTTTGTCTTCTCCCAATTTAACCACAGAGACTCCCGTATATAATGTCTTCTAAAATACCCCTGTGTTTTGGTTCCCTTATACCATAAAAAAGCATGCCAACCCAGCAACAAATCATGACCTTCTAATGTCAACAATCTAGTTTTCCTTAATGTTATCCATTCTTTAACCCACATCAAATTTACAGCTTGGTAGTACAACTCCCAATTAGGCAGGCCAAACCCTCCTCTGGTTCTGGCATCCTGTAAAAGCTTTAACTTTATCCTTGCTTTCTTGCCTTGCCATATATACTTCAAAACAATTTTGTTTAAATCCTCAAAATAGTCTTTTCCAAGCCTAATTGGTATTGTTTGGAACAAAAATAAAATTCTGGGTAGAATATTCATCTTAATTGTTGAAATCCTTCCTATTAATGACAATTGTACGTTTTCCCATTTCTTCAGATCTTGGGCTATCTGTTGTTTAAGTTTAATATAATTGTTCTCCTTTAATGTACTACATCTTGATGTCAAATATATCCCCAAATACTTAACCTTATTTGTAACTTGGATTTTTAACAATTCTGCCAGTTCTTCTCTTTGTCTTAGCAACATATTCTTTGACAAAATCTTTGTTTTATCTTTATTTATTTTCAGACCGGCCACTTCCCCATATGCCTCTATCTTTTCCAACAGCTTCAAGGCTGTTTCTATAGGATCTTCCAAGATAAAGACTAGGTCATCTGCAAAAGCTTGTAGTTTAAATTCTTCCTTTTTAATTTTCATTCCTTTTATAGTTTTATCTTCTCTAATATTTCTATTCAACACTTCCAAAGTCAATACAAATAGCAAGGGAGAAAGAGGACAACCTTGTCTTGTGCCTTTTCTTATACTAATAGGATCTGTGAATTCTCCCTCCATCATTACCATAGCTGTTTGCTCATTGTAAATTGCTTCTATTGCCTGAATAAATCTTCTAGCAAAGCCCATCTGTTCCATTAAAAGTAACATAAATCTCCAATTCACGTTATCAAATGCCTTTTGGGCATCTAAAAATATCAAAGCCATTTGCTTTTCAGGATGCGCCTCATTGTATTCCAAGGTGTCCAAAATTATTCTCATATTGTCTCTGATTTGTCGCTTTGGCAAGAACCCATTTTGGTCTGGATGAATAAAGTTGTTCAAGTACTTTTTAAGTCTTTCTGCTAATATTGAAGCAAAGATTTTATAATCTGCATTTAATAAAGAAATCGGTCTATAATTCTTGATTTGAAGTAGGTCCGCCTCCTCTTTTGGAATAAGTGTAATATAGGCCTCTGACCATGTTTTAGGTATCATCTTTTTTAACATAACTTCATTCATAACTTCTAAC